AGGGTTTTTTCATTGAGGCAGGGGGCGGGGCAGAAGGAAGGCCTTCCCAGTGACTTCTACCTACATCTCATGATTTCATTTCACACACATTGTTTCATTTTGTACATATCCATTGGGGGGCAAGAGCAGGCTTTTTACCAGCAGTTTCTTTGCAGTCTTTCTCACCGCTTTGCCCTTGGCCATGCCGACACCAATCCTAGTTTTCTTCTCTTTGCCTGGGCCTTCTCACACTTTTGGGCAGACTCTTTCCCTTCTGTGTTCACGCTCCCCAGCATTCTCTTCTCAGCCTGTGAACTTTCCTGTGTGACCATGTCAAATTCACAGCTTCTGCCACCCAAGTTTTATGTCTTTTTCCCAGACCTTTTGCCCTGAATCCCAGACTCACGTGTCCAACTCCACAAAGGACTTCTTCACTGGGATATACTGTGAAGTGACTCAAACTCAGTACATCTACAAGTAAACCTTGTCTTTCCACCTGCACTCTCCCCTTATCTTGTCACTTTTGTCTGTCCATGGGGTCATCAAGATGCCATTCCCGAGATACATACCTGAAATTAACCTCTTCATCTCTCACATGCACTTAATGTCCATTTCCCTTCCCTCTTTTCTGCCCCCCTGCTTTTGTTTTGGTGGTTGTAACTAACGTCTGTTGAGCATTTGCAGATGCTAGCTGCTGATAGAAATACATTACATATTGTAACTCATTCAATCTTTCCAACAACCCTTCTGTTGTTGTCGTTCCAATTTACAGATGAGGAAAGTAAGAAACAGAGCAGCAAGTCAGTTTCCCAAATGTTACAAGAGTAAACAGTAAACTCTGGACTGGAAACTGGGCAGTTGATATTAGCGTACCCTCTCTTACCTACTATAACTTCCTGTTTTAGCCCTCATTAGTAATTTCATATGTTATTATCAAAGCCTTTCAAATGGTTTCTCTTTTTCAGTCCCCCTAACTCCTTTTCTAAATTCTGCCTTTCATATGGCTAACTCCTAGAGTGATCTTTCTGAAACACATGCAATCCAATCATATTAGTCTGCTGCCTGAGGTCCATCAGGTTTCTCCATCACCTCCAGGCTGAAGCTCCAGCTCCTCCCCGGATACACAAGGTTCTCCAGGATGTGGAAGCTGCCCACTGATACAGCCCCTTCTGGAACGTCCCCACAGACTTGGTATCAGCAGCCATACAGGACTGCTTGCAGCTTCTGAACAGATCTTGCTCCCTCATAGCACCTATTTTCAAGTGCAGACTCTTAGGGAAACAGCTCAAGATCCTCAAAAGCAGAATACTCGACCCTCTGTGTTTTATATCTCAATTGACATATACTTTCCCTTCAGAAGTCGCCTGAGGGGAGCACTGGATTTTCATATCTATGTAGCTACCAAAGTGCTCGGTGCATAATCGTCACTCACTGAGTTATTGCCAAATAAGGATGAAGTAGAGACTGTAACTACTTCATTCCCTTGTGTGCCATTCTCCTAAAAAAAACCTGGGACAAGGAGATTGCTTGAATATCATTGGTTTTCCCTGGATTACTTACCTGCAGGAGATGTTCGTCTTGGAGTCAGAATAATTCAGAGGCCTCATTATAAGGCAGAGCACATCCTAGACATGCAGATGAAGGTCTGGAAGTAAAGGAGAGGTGGGTCAACAAGAGGACACAGATACATGTACATTAGTGAGGGGACCAAGGTGCAGCACAGGAGTAGTGACACCAGGACACAACATCTGGTCAATATTCTTGGGACTTGTTTTTAAAGGAAGTAACTAAGAACATTAAAAAAGGGTGCCTTCTTTTTCTTTAGCCTTTTCTATGACAGCTAGTGCAGAAAGTCAGGTTGCAGAATTTTCTAAAAAGAAGCACATGATAGTTATATTTATTTTATAGGATTCTGGGGCCTTTGTGACAGGCAGCGAGAAGTAAAATTACCATCGCTGGTCCCTTTGCCACTTCTAATCATCCCTTCAAACTCACCTACATTAGATAGAGCAGCTGTCCTTCACCACGGAGGAAACACAGCTGAGAGTTATGTTACCATGGAAACAGATGTTTTTTTTTGCTGCAAGACACATCCCTTCATCTGCACTATTATAAAGCAGAATACATTGGTAGGGCTGGGAGGAAAATCAAATGTTCTGCCGCCAGTGTTATACTTGGCCTTTGGGTGAATAAATAACTTTCAATTAGAGTACTTAAATGTCTTTTGACTTTAATAATTATTATTAGAGCCCCAACAGAATTTTACTTGGAAAAGAGTAAAATTTTGACTCTGCTGTTAGGGGAGGTATAAATTCTTTCAAATGAGACCACTTCTGCTGAAGAAAATACAAAGGAATTTACAATGAATAATTTCATTGTGTGTAAAATAAATGTCTTCGTCCTTTGTTTTTTGACTCTCTGACTTGATCCTATTGTGGGTTTATGAGAGGGTCCTCACTGCTTTCTTTCCTTGTCTGTAAGCAGCTTTGTAGTGAACATACATATTTACAACTTCATCTCATGCTGGGCTAAGTGAATTCAGATCCTCTCTCCTTGACTTGCTCCTGAGCATGCGCTGAGCCTGGCGCTCAAGGCCAACTCCGGCCCTTAATTCCCTCACCAGCCACTGTCCTCTCTCCCATCCGCCACCTGGCTCTTTCACTGGGAAGCTCTCTTCATCTTATGCCAGCCTTAAATTTAGTCACTATTCTATTTTATTTTCTCTTCTTATAACTACCCGATTTCCTATTGTTTGTGTTGCTGTTTTGAAGGACAAATCTACAAGACTTATAATGCTAGAGGCATCGAATCAGTAAAATCTCAGGAACGAAACAAGAATTCCTCATCCCTTCAGTCCTGAAGATCCTCACAGTTGCTGAGTTTCTGAACAAGTCCAAAAAAGGCACCGATAAAACACATACACAGACGCACACAGACACATATGCCCACGCACAGAGTCTAACTATAATCATAGGGAAATCCCATATAATGAAAAGGAAAAAAAACCCTCTCATTTATTGGCTGGAGGCTGGATATAAGTTAGAAAAGTACTGGTGTTTTAATTCTAGAGTTAGTAAAGCAACATTAAGAGACAAGTGATATTCACTGAACGACTCGTCGGTGCCAGGCACTGCTTACGCCCACATCCCCTTTAATTCTCAAATTCATTACCAGAGTTACTATCACTTATTCCCAGTTTATAAATGATATAATCGAGGCTCAAGGAATTTTTTAAAGCTGTTCCCAGAGCCACCACACAAACCCTGCATGACAGTGATTTCTGACTCTTTCCGACTGCATCCCGTGGCACAGGACCCAGCAAGGCTCCCACGTGTGGACGGCTGAAGCCTAACAAGACAAAGAGAGAAGTGTGGACTGTACTCCTGGCTTTGCCAACAACAAGGGACATAAGATCGACGACAATTTGAGAACATGAAATAGGAAAACACATTGCCTGCCCACCTGCAATCACACTATTTACATTGATTCTCCCACTAACACAAGTCATAGCAACACTGGACTGGACATTCAGGTTCTTGTTGCTAAGACTTTGGGAAAATCATGTATTTCTTTAAGCTCACATGTTTCTATTCTTATGTAACAAAGATAACTTACTTCTTATCTGCCCATATACACAGGGAGTTGAGCAGTTACTGTGTGCAAAACATGTTAAAAATCTAAAGAGCACTTCTGTTTCTGAAGGAAGAATGACTTGTCCAGATTAGTATGTTCATATCACTGCCAAGCAACTCTTCCTCAGTCATTATTAAATCCAAACCTGCAATGCTTTTGAGAGCAGACCCTATTACATATTTTTGGTGTGTATTGTAAATTATTTTAACATGGTGCATGGGTAGTAGATGCTTAATACACATTTTTAAGGGAAGGAGTGGGTGTTTAATTCAAAGCTTTCTTCAGTGTCTATGTGAGCCATCAGTCACAGACTTAGTTTTATCATCCTATCAAAATAATTGCTTAAATGCTTAGACACATTAACTCAAGTTGTTTTATGAAAAGACAGTCATCCAGGGGTGTCCAACCAGCAGCCCATGGGTTCCATGCAGCTCATGATGGCTATGAATGTGGCCCAACACAGAATCTTAAATTTTCTTAAAAGCTTTTTTTGCTCATCAGCTTTTGTTACTGTTTGTGTATTTAATGCGTGGCCCAGGACAACTCTTCCTCTTCCAGTGTGGCCCAGAGGTGCCAAAAGTTTGGACACCCTGAGAACCTTTGTTAATAGTATTATCCAAGTATTGTTATTTATTATATCCATTATTTTAACAGGAATAATATCCAAGTCTTTTCATTATCACATAGAAGGAAATACTTTATTTCTTTGAATTCTATTGCTTGTTTTTCAGATAACCTCAGGAAATGTTAATGAAAAAATAATTTACCTAGGGCCTCAAATCTGACTTCCCATATTTTAATAAATTAGCAATAACTGTTTCATTTTGAGCATTCACTATGTACATACTACACCCTGAACTTCACATACATGATCTCTTTAGTTTTAATGACCCTATGAAGATGTATCTATTATTGTTCCCATTTTATAGGTGAGGAAAATAGATTCAGAGAGTATAAATAAATTGTCGAAGTCATAACCTGTCTAGGTCTGTAGCACAGCCTGATCCAAACCCAGAGGGACTCATTCTAAAATGCTACCCTCAGCCAGGCTCCTGCACACCAAGTGCAGAAGTGACTTTGCAGCCAAGTGCAAAGTCACTTCTGAGAAACCTAGCTTTCATTTGCTGCCTATATCCCTTAAGCTCTTTATCCTTCATTTTATAAAAGAAAGGGGGGGGGATACAGGAGGAAGAGCAAAAAGAGGAAGGAAACAGGGGAAAAGGGGGGAAGGTCACTTAATATTTTCCGCCCCGTCTGAATAACCCCAGGGATAAAGTGGGACCCATCCAACTTTTAACTACACTAGTCAACATTGCTGAATGATAAATGTGTGAGGGCCCAGGTGGGTCTGACCTGATGTCATTTTACCTTTGTTTTACATTTACCAGGAGAAGTATTCTTGCAGATTAAAGGGCCGCTGGAAGATATTTATAAAACCTACTGCTATCACCACGACAAAGCGCACAGTGTACTGGAGTCCTATGAAAAGGAGGAGGAGCTGAAGCAGCATTTGAGCCTCTGCATCCAGTCCTTAAAGTAAGGCCTTTCAAAGGGTGATTTCTGTGTGTTCACAGTTGCCTGGCAGGGGACATTTTAACTGGATGTCGATGAAAGGTCTCACGTAAACCCTAGGTTTTATGAGCCTGGCGGAAAGCTCTGCGTTGCGTTCCCTTTATGAAAAGCGGATGCGCCAGAAACCCTGATTGACTTTTTTTTTCTCCTGTGAGGGTAACTAAAAATAACATAGGAAAAAATACAGGGCTCTGTAGAAATAGAAAAATGCAATATCAAAAAGTGGAATGTAGAAGAAAAGTCCCTCCTTAAAGCTGCCGTTGCTCACCTGCTCCACATAGATCAAGGAAGAGGGGAGACCCCGTGCGGCATGGAGAGCCCTGAAGCGCAAGGAGTAATGAGTCGGTGGGCTGTCCACGACTCTCTGAGCTGCCCCACCTCCGCCCAGACGGGAGAGTGGGAACACAGGCCAGGCCCTGCGAGAGTCTGTCTCAGGAACATTAGTCATGCCTTCCTGAATTGTTCCTGGGTGGTGCTACATAACATATACATTTTTATCTAGAAGAAATTTCTATGCACTATAAAAATCTGGAATATTATGAAAACATGAATAAAATAAAAGCCCTCGCTACGCCATGTATTAATTTCTCACTAAGGCATGTATTAATAACCATAGTTTGCATTTCATTTTGATCTTATCTATATGCATATATATGGACATGCATTTAGGGTGATTCTTTTGAATGGAATTGGTATCTCACTGTATATATGGTTTTCTACCACATGAAACTTAAACCTAAAATGTGTGCCCTGGTCCACATCTGTTGTGGTCTCTCACTTCTCAGGATTACCTATTGACAAATGGTTTTGATTAGGCCAAGAATTAACCAAGCAGAGAGGGCTGTGATGTATAAATCAATGCATACCAACCCATTGGACCCTCTGGTACATCCCCCTTATATACCATACAATAGAGGTCAATATGGAGGTCCTGATGGAATACAAGAGGCTGGTAGCTGAATTAAAGTGAAGTCAGGAGACTAAGGGAGACTACTCCAGAGAAAGTCTTTTCAGGAGAGAGCTGGGACTGAAAGTGCCAGTTTAAACTCGACAGAAGAAATGTTAAAAACTAACTTCATTGCCCTCTACTGGTCATCAAGTTATTACACTTCTTGAACCATTTTTCATGCCCATGCTGTGGAAAAAAATAGACATGTATTTAAGTTTCCAATTCACAAAAATTTATTGAAGGGCTTATGCTGTAGCAAGCACCATTCTGGGTGCTGAAAACACAAAAGTAAATAAAAGTTAGACGCAGTCTATTGGAACTCTGAACCCAGAATGAAAGTGAAAAGGCCTACAGTAAGGGAACAGCTGACACCTGGATAATCAGTCCAACTCCAACGCCAGGAATGGCGTTCCACACAGGAGGGGGACATAGGTCATTACTTTGGCATGCGCCCTTAACAGCTGACAGGAAGCAGAGCTGTCTCTTTGGAGGGGACGAACATTAGTTTAGTATTCATTAAACCTTGGCTCCTAAGAGAAAGAAATTGACCCTGTCAAAATATTCAAGTAGAGCTCCATATCATAACTTTTAAAAAGCAACTAAAGACAGAGGCAATTTTCAACTTTATGAAGTCCAAATCACTGAAAATTGCTTTCACACCCAGTGGTTTATTTGATCTTTTTCTGAAGACCTCCAATTACTGCCCTGGTGACGTCCCCAATCGTGTGTATTCAGCACCAGTCTGATTTTAGGGAACAATTTCAGGCACTGGAAGTTGCTAAGGTTTAGAAAGCACAAAATCCAAAGGAAGTAATACTGGCAGAATGGTCTTTTAAGGAAAAGAAAATCATAATAAAATAGCTTAAGTTAGAGTTATTCTCCTAAATTTGCCTTTTCATGAACATAAAGTTAATGATGAATTGTACTGATCCGAAAGCTGAGAGCAGAATTATTGACATTACTATACTACTGACCTCAATTGAGCTAAGCTTTAAATTCTGAGAAACAGGTTTTCAAACAGGTTTGTAGGTCAGAGAGCGTCCAGAAGGCCCAAGGGCTTGGTTTCCCTCACCAAGTCATCAGTCAAAGCTGTTACTGTGGCTCTGCCTTTTCCTTGTGGCTAAATACCAGAGCCAGGTGCACAATTGCCAATTGCTAGTGAGCATTAGGTGTGGCCCCCACTTTCTGCTGTGCAGGAGTAAGTGGGTCTGAAGCAGTATCTGCAAGAGAAGTGACTGACTTCGTGCTTCCAAAGTTAAAGAGGATTTTAAAGCAACTTAGGTTGCATTTTAACCAAAATTAATTAAGTTTACTGGTGGCTTGATAAATAAATATTTATTAAGATTGCTAGATAATGTTGAAAACATTTAACAAATACATACACACACACACACACACACACACACACACATATATATATGTGTGTGTGTTCTTGCCTCCTAGGAACACATCTTCTAACTGGGTAAATAAACTAAGCCATCCAAAAAGTTTAATTAAAATGCCAGAGTTAATTTAAATAACACACCAGAAGCTATCACGGTAAGGTTCTGGACTAATTTCCAAGAAGAGGGTAGAGAGATTGTTTGGTTCTATAACAAACGTGAACTCATAACGTTTGGCTATTCTTTGAAGCCCAGTATCTTTCAAGAGAGAAAGATAACATTTGTATCGAGAAAACAATTTTGAATCCCTTTAAAACATTAGGTCAGTGTTTCTAGGTGTGTGTGTTCCCCTGCATCAAATTAACCAGGGATGCATATTAAAAGTGCAGATTCATAAACTATGCTCCATACCAAAAAAAAAAGGATGGTTGAGGGTCCAATTCAGGAATCATAACATGAAAAAGCATCTTTAGGTGACCGTAGCTACACACTCAGAAACTACTTTAAGAGAATTGTCTACAGTTCTCGCTCACTGTTTTCCCTGAAGTGCAAGGGTCTCCCCCTCCATAGCTATAGATATAACCCATGCAGTAGTTTCAGGGCATGGAGACCTTAAGAAAGAAAAGACTGAAACCATATAGAAGCACAGTACTGCATCTGCCTCTGTGGCGTACAGATTGGAAATCTGCAAGTTTTTACTTGTTCAACCAGGAGTGTTTACACGTCGCGTTAGTGACCTCTACAATGACAGGAAATACCGTATTAATGCAGCCTTTAAATGTATGGAATTTATTTGCTAAAGATCTAGTTACTCAGCCTCTTTGGGGTCATTTAAGGTTTCTCATCTGTATGAGAAAAGTGAAAAATAGAACAGCTATCAATGCCAGTGCAGCTATAATTAGAATGGCCTGTCTGCTGCCTCCCTTTTCTGTTTTTTCTAGTTATAAATACTGCCAAACCCCTGCTGCTTTTTCAGAGGCCCTTGAGATCTGTTTATTTTTGTAATAGAAAAAGAATGAAGGGACTTTTCCAAATTTTGTGGTAGCTGGAAGACACAGTTCTAGCTTCACGTCTAGTTGTTATAAATTTATCTACATTTTTCTCCCCAGCTCAACCCATCATCCATAGAAGGAAAACTTCTGACTTAACAGTCATCTCGGCACTTTAGCTGCCCATATTTCTGCCAAAGATTCTCCATTCAGGGAGGAAGCTAAAAGTTCACCCAACACAAACTCTTAAAGAGTAGATTTCAATTTGTTGGCCACATTTTGTACTTCTAAATACTATTGTAATTGAGTGTGCCACCTAAAAAAAATCACTTTTGGAAATTCTTTCAGTTCTTTGTTATGTGGCATCATGTTTGAATGAACAGTGTGATCCTCAAAGGATAGCCACATAAAAACTTTAAAAAATTATTAGTCAAATTATAATGAGCCCACGAGTGTAGGAGATGTAGCTGTGAATATATTGAGTTAGTTTATCCCACGAAAGAGTAAATGAACACAATTTAACTTCCTCCTGAATTGTCCTTGGTTGAGGTTAACTTCTGGAAAACTTTTATCCTAAAAGAGAGATTTAAAAAATAATAATATGCAAATAAAAAGGAGCTGTTTCAATATATTGCCACTCCTTCACCAGGCCAGCAGGGAAAACCTGTTGAAGATCTCTCAGGTCCATTTTTAAAAATGTTATACTTATATTAAACACAGCCTTTAACTTCTTTATAATACTTAGGTTTTATTTTATTTGAAATAAATAAAATAGAAGGAAAAATTTTTATGTCTTCTCTAGGAGTAAAAAGAACAATCTTTTAACTCAAAGTATGTGTTTTGGTTCTGAAATGATCACATTGTTCATTTGTCTGTTTCCATAAAAAACTGCGTTTTTATTTTTAGTCAACTTCTCCGCCAAACTTTCTGATGTATGATCCGCAGTGCATACTGGAAAAACCAGATTCCTCATTAGAAGGGAATAGAAATTGGGGAGAGAATGTGAACCTAAAGGAAATGAATAGAAGGGAACATTGGGCAAGAGGTTAATGGTGGTGCAGTTTCTTTCATTGAAGTAAAAGAGTTATTTTAAGTTGATGAAAATTCAGCATAGCAATTTATCACTGAATTTTTCACAATCATTGAATATGAAAATGCCATCTATTATGGGATGTCGTTATTTTTTTCTATATTGAAAACATTTACTGCATTCCGAAAGACTGAAAACTGGAGATGAAGGGGCTCACATTATTGACTCCAGTTATTACTTCACTTCTCTATAACCACATGAGACTTTTAGAGAAAAACTTCATTTACCCTTATTCCTGAAATTTAACTTGAGTCACCCTTTTTCATTGTTAATTAATTAATTTGACAAGTATGTTTGAGGCTCCTGCCATGAGCCAGTCACTTTCCCAGGTACTGGGGCTACAGCAGAGAACAAAGCAGACATAAATTCTTGCCGTTGTTGGGATAGGGGAGTGGCGAAATAGACAATAGACTGAAGAAGTCGAGAGCATATTAAAAAGTGACAAAGCTTAATGAAGAAAAATAAAGCAGGAAGTGAGGATAAAGAGTACAGTGGGAAGCATGATACAGTTTTTTAAAGGTTGGTCAGGGAAGTCTTCACAGGGAAGGGACATTTGAGCAAAGAACAAAAGGAGATTTATCTGGAGGAAGAGCAATCAGGTGGGACTGCGTGTGCAAAGACCTTCAAGCAGGAACCTGTCTGGGGGCTGTACAAAGAACTAGGAGGCCTGTTCGGTGCCAGATGGGAGAGAAGGGCATCCACAGGAGAGTGGGTAGACAGGAGCTGAGAGGAGATACAGAGCACACTGCCCTAGGAGGGTTTCAGATTTACTTGAGCAATGGGAAGGCACAAAGGCTGACAATACCTTGTGAGAGTTTCTGTGGAATTCTCTCATTGAATAGGTAGATTGTTTATAATCTGCATCACACTATATACAAAGATATTACAGAGCTTGGTTCTTTTCTGCAAGTCAATCATATTTTTCTTTGTAGTCTTGTAATCTCAGTTTCTCCTATTATTGTGTTTAATAGAATCTTTTAAAAAATATGTACGAAAGTGACCTTTAAATCCTTTTTCAACTTTAGGAAATTTATTAACTATAATTAATCTGAGTCAACAGTTTTTAATCTTATAATTTATAATATAAAACAAAAATGGTGAATAGATACTAAAATAAAATGTTAAGGCCATGATTATAAAATAATGAGACCAATGCTATAAAACATCCATGAAAATTATTTATAACTGTTTTATGCAATAACATTTAAAAATGTGTATAATGCATGCATATTACCTCAGATAGGTGGATTTACATGAATTTATTTCTCCCCCCTCTCTTACAGGAAAATATACATTCAAGAGTAAGTACTTTTATTTTAATAATAAAAATCAAATGTAGAAATCATGAAGAAGAGCTGTCGAATATTTCTGTACTAATCAGAATTTTTAGTTTTTACAATTATGCTTATTGCTTTTTAATACATAAATCAAGATTTTGAAGGCATTTGCAATAGACATTATTGGTGCACTTATTTCCAATTTGTCTGAAATAATCGTATATGTTAAGTTCTTATTACATGTACATGACTAAACTTTTAGAAGAATCCTGAATATAATTTACTTAAATCACCCATTTGCTGGTACCAAGAATTCTTAGGAACTTCTCATCACACATACATTTAGGAATCTTTATGTGTTCAAAACAGTTTCCTAAGAATAACATTAGTCTTCAAAAATCTCAGATTAATACCATAATGTTTTTTTGAAGGTGCCATATGTGAATGTACAAAAGAAAAGACTCCTTATGCATCATAGTGAAATATTGTGTTTCTTCTCATTTGGACTTTTGTATGATTCACAAAGAAAAAAATCACATCCACATATATAACATGCAAACGAAATAGTAAGATGAAAGAGTCGGTCACTGAAACTATATTAATTGTCCTATAAAAACAACACACACATACACATACTTTGGAAGAAATGCACTTTATATAAGAAAAGCAGGCTTAGTCTGACTAATACTGAAAGGATGATATGGAGGTACACACAAACTCAAATTATAAGACTTGAAAAAGCACATGCCTGGTTCAGCGTGGTCCTAAATGCTAAGTTATGTAGTCCTAACTACCTGAGTTCCCAGTCTGTGTGTGTTTGCATGTGTGTGTATCCGGGCCCTACTCTGGAAACTTTACATCAAGGAATACAAAATTTATAAATTAAAAATTACATTAATTTAACCTGTAAATACCAAATCAATCATTCATGCTTTGGTGCAGAACAACCATGAGGAAAGACCAAACTCCAGCAGTGGAGTGGAAGAATCAGGCACCACTCAGGACTCCTGTGGTCTAAGCCAGGATGAGAAGTTAGTTTTGACAAACAATCACCCAGTGCTCTCACTTTACAAGTCTTTTTTTTTTTTCAAAAGGACAAAAACCCTACAGCGCAGACAGACATGTGTAGGTTGATCAACGAGCCCCCAGATCAGGAATCGCCCGAATTTGAAGATGTGTGAAACAGGAGGAGAGGGCCTTCTGGGGCTTTCCACACACCACAGCCTTCAGGGCTTCTCTTCACTGATAGTTGATAAGGACGAGTTGGGAGCAGGGACTGCCATCTCATTGTAAAAGCATGTCCCTGGCATCATTGTTCCTAGGACTAGAGAGTCACATAGCTGGATGACTAAAGAGGAACTTCATATGCTTCAAATTCTGCTTAGGTTCCTTTTCTTAAAGCTTGGGTCTTTGTGAGAGAGAAAGGCAGGGTTAGAGAGAGTGAGAAAGGGAGCTATTCAGAGGAGGAGAGAGAGAAAATTCTTTCTCTGTAATGCAGTTCATATGCACGTACTGCTCCATACAAAATACCTACAACAAACAGTGCATTTCATTGACATATTTGCTTGAAAAAATTGCGCCAGTTTTTTTGTAGCGGTCCTGCGGTGTGGGAGTCAGCAAGCTGTGTATGTCATCTCTGGCCTATTCTATACATCAGGAACTGGAAAAGAGGAAGAGTATTCACAGCATGAGGCTGGATGAACATCAAAGCCCAGTCTGCCATGAGCTGTCTTCTTTCCTGTTTCTCTCACTGGGGTCATGAGGCACACAAGCTGCAAAGGGTAAAAGGCAATGTCAAGTGCTGTGTAATTGTTTGGCTCCTTACCTGCTAAGGCCTGGTTGCAGCCAACAGTGCATTTAGGAGGGGCGTGTGTTTTAATGGCTTAAAAAGAATGCCTTCCTTATGAACACTGAAAATTTTCTGTTTTTTAATCTTTCTAAGTACATTTTTAAATATAGAGAAAAACGAAGATATTTATAACTTTTAAAGTGATTACTTTGAATTATAATCTTATGCAAACATGAAAGACAGTATTAGTGACAAGAATCACAGAATCTCCCATGAAAAGTCGCTCTCCACAAAAAATCATCTGATGCAATCCCATGTTCTAAAGCAACAAAGACATGCCTATTCTAAATTTAACTATCTCCAGAAATGCAGTGTTGGGTTTTTATGTTTTTTAAACTTTTCTGTATGTATCCTCCATCTGACCAGCTATTCTAACTTTGGATCTCTGAATTTTTATTTATTGCAAAATATTTGTAAGTTATTTTCTCTCTCTCTCTCTCTTTTGAGCTTTGCATTTTTAAAACTACTGAAGAGACACTGCATTATATAGAAAATTAAAATGAGGACAATAAAGACAATGAGTAGTCACATTCTAGAGTTAACTACTGTAACATTGTTACAGTGTGAAATTTCTGACTGTACTGTCATTTTTTCTCTATGTATACATGTTAACTAAAATAGGATTACTATATATGTGTTTCTTTTTTTCTTTCTTGTTGTTCTCCTTTCATATGTCCCTCTTCTCCATCAACATGCCACCTCATTCATGAGTGCACCCCAGGCATCTTTCTGTACAGGACACATAAATCCCCATTGTTCTATGGCTGCGTAATATTCTATCTGATGTACACCCCACCGTCACTTAGTTTACCAAACCCTCAGAGATACTTGAATTGTGTCTTTCTGTCTTGTAGAGATTGATGCTGTGCGTTCATTCTTATACATGATCTCTGTATGATAATTTGATTATTTTCTTAGGATGAATTTCTAAAAGTGGGATTACCAGACCAAAGGGCATCTCATACTTATTACCAGAAAGTTTCAGAAAAGTTGAACTCATTTATATTCTCACTCTCCATATATGAGTTGTCCATTTATCTGCTACTTGCCTGGAGTAGATACAATTCATGTTTGTATCTTTGCAACACATGGCACTGTTGTGGGCCAAAGTAGGAATGTATTGTTTGAACACACATTTCCTTCTTTAAAAAGTTTCTCTTTCATTAAGATTATACACACCAAGGTTTTAAAAGCCCAGCCACTCTACAGGATTTAAGAAAAACAACAATGCTCTTCTCTTACCTGTCGCTCAGTGTTCCTCATGAGAACACAAGCGCTTGCAGGTCTTTTACTTGACTGTTTTGGAATTTACCTTCCTGACTCTAAAGACGTGTGTGGTTTTACCTTCTCAGGTGTTTGGGGCTGACTCCTCCGCGTAGAAGACAACGATTTATTTCTCTTTCCCACCCCATCTCCACACACCCCTTACACACATCGCACACTCTTCCTAGCTCTCCATTCTCCTCATGTTGTTACACCAGAATTTGGATTAGAGCAATAATCAGCGTTTGAATTATTACGTCTGCTTATTCTGAGTAAATTTCTTTTTAGAGTTAAATGTTAGAATAAAAGATTACTTGTTTTTCTGGAGGCTATTATCTTTTTTTCCCCATTTTTTTTGTGCTAATCATTAAGGCCAAACTCACAGCCAATCATATTTCAAGACAGCCAGATACACTGCATATCCTATCATTTTCATCTCCCTGAAGAAATTTCTTCCAGCCCTGGCTGCTGTGGCTCAGTGAATTGAGCGTCGGCCTGCGAACTGATGGGACTCCTGTTCGATTCCCAGTCAAGGCACGTGCCTGGGTTGCAGGCCACGTTCCCCGGTGTGGAGGACATGATAGGCAGCCTCACACTGGTGTTTCTCTCCCTCTCTTTCTCCCTCCCTTCCCCATCTGTCTAAATAAACAAATAAATAAAATCTTTTTTAAAAAGTTTCTCCCGGAGCCTTCTGACCTGTTGAGTTTGGACTGGGGACACTGGAGACAATTGTCCTTCAGGAACCCCTCCCATCTTTGGGGAGATTCTCTGCCTGTTTCCTGGTTTGGGCTGAGTGTGTCCTTCAGTAGTTCCTTCTATTCATCAAAAATGCATGGGAAGTAACATTTTAAGAACTTTCATAATCAAAATACCTTTATTTTACCCTCACACTTAATTTAGAGTTTGAATTCTAAACTATTGAATTTTAAATTGAAAGTCATTCATCTTCATCTTTTAATGGTGATTTGTCATTGTTTTCTAGTTTTCAGTGTTGCTACAAAATATCTGAAGCTTTTTCTGATCCCTAATCGTTTGGTTGTACCTGTTTGTTGATATGTTTCTCTGGAGGGCTGCGGATCTTCTCTTTGTCCCCCAAAGTCTCATTTGTTGTGAATTCCAAGGTGTAATCCCATTTCATCCATTGCCCTGGACACTCAGTGAGTTCTCTCATCCTGCTAATTCGGGTCCTTTTCTCCAGTCACTTCGCTGATGATTCTGTTCTCTATTGTTTCTTTCTGGGACTCTGTTTACTTTGGTATTGGCCTTCCCGAAAAAGGTCTCTAATTTTCTGTATTGTTATTGTCAATCCCTTTGTATTTTTGCTCTTCCCTCTAGAAAGTTCCTGAATACTTTTCCTGAATATTTTCTGCAACACTTATGAGTTTTTTATTTCTGCTATCATCCTTTAACTCCCAAGAGGTCTTTCTTAGTCTCCCAGATGGTGCCTTTCACTTGTACAGCACCCAAAGAATTAGGCTGCTTGTTAAACAGGTTTTCAACTGGTCCCTTCTTATTGTAATCCCCATCTTCCTCCCTCTCCACTACCATGGAAATTGGAAATTCTAATTAATAAACTTTTGGAAGAGTTATTAAATTATTTCCTCTCCATATTATTGATTCTCTCTGGCTTGCAACATCAATTATTCATTCATCTCCTTTACATTGTCTAAAGTTTATTGATAGTTCTGTATTTTCACAGCTACTTTTAATTCATAGCAGTAGTTCTTTGCTCATTATTTGTAGCAACATACAGTTTTAAAGGGGGATTACATTGAAAAATCAATGTTGTACTGTTGGTTTGTGGCTACTGTAAATTATTAAATTTAGAATACTTATGATCATAAAATAGAGAAAATTCAAAGTAACATGATCAATGATCACATGATTATTTTTCCTTTCTGTCATTTTATACCTCTAATTAAGACATATAGATGTGCCTTGGTGCTGAATATGTGATTTCATGTGCTTTCCACCATGGTTTTTACATTGCTTAAATATCATTTCCAGTTTCATTGTGAAACTGTTTTCTTGTATTTGATGTGAAGTCTCTTTATAGCCAAACTGGATGCTGCTAAAACAAAGCCAGCTGTGTTTACTTGACTTTGTAAAGTCCCAATAATAATTCGTAATGAGATTAGTTCAGCTACTTATGGTACTAGATACTTGCCAAAGTATTCTCAATAAGACAATGGAGATGGAACAGGATTACAAATTAATAACCACCTTAGTTTTCAGCCCAATATGTATGGGGAATTGTTAACACACTTGGTTACTTCCTGAGGGGAGGCATAGGGGGATTGGCTACTTGGCTGAGCTGGGTTGTATCACCCTTAAGACGCATCTGCCTTGCAGTTATCGGAACTGAATTCTGTTGGGAGGGATTAGATGGGTGAGATTTGGCCCTGGATGCCTGGGGTGTCATTATACCACACCCTCTACTTTTCTGCACATTGCTTGTCTGTGTGATACAGGCATTGGCACATCGCTCATTGCTGGGCAGCTGTCCAAAGTGCGTGTCTGAAGACAAGTGTCTGGGGGATTTCTTGTTGTCGAGAGAACCTTTTTAATACTTGCATTTGTGATACTTTTAAGACAAACAGTAATCAATGCATCATAGTTACTGTTGTCATTTGAAGCATAGCAGGGAGAGAAGAGAACTTTGACGCCACCTAAAGGGCCTAGTTTGGTTTTTGACAGATCTTAATAAGGAAGAAAGGAGGGCAGCTTGCAGATCAAGGGTATCATTTAATATATTTAGGAATTTTCTTTAAATAAAACACACACATACACACATACAACAATGGGCCACACAGAAAAACTATCATATTAAAATGGGCTTTTATTTGATTGAATCATTTGATTTACTTATTATTTTTTCAGTATTCATAATATTTACAGTTTTTCCATCTGCTTCATCCAGTCCTCTTGGAAACCAATAACATCTCTCTCTGCCTCTCCCCCAGATTCCTTCTTCACCCCAGTCTCCCACCCCCCTTCCCCCTTCCTTAGTAGATTTGGTGCAAATGGATAGAAAGTACCAGATACATCACATAAAGCAACTTCTTACACCCTTGAAAACCTTTTTTTATTTTGTTTTTTCCTTTTAAAAATGCTGCTTTTTGGTCTCATTCAGTTTTTGTTTCTATTATGATGTCAGCGTTTGCTCAGCACCTGAAGAAAATTCCTCAGTTATTGGGACCATTGGAAATTGGGGGTCGGGTGGAGGTAGATAAGTTCAGCATAAAATAAAAACACATTATATGTCTAAGAAACCTACCACTTCAGTCTACAAATATTCACTGAGAGAATACTACATGTCATGCTGGAGACACAGTGGTGACAAGAGAAACTGAGCACAACCTGGACAGCAGAAGACGAGCTCAGACAGTGGTGCGTGCTGTAGTAAAAATAAAGCGAGATGTGACTGTGTGTGTGTGTACGCATGTGTATGTGGTGACGTTTCTTAGTTTCTCATTTTTAAATGAAGAATTCAATTAGATGGTCTCTGAGGGGCCTTCAGATCTGATCTATTGAGGCAGCTTTTCTAATTTTGTTCAGTGTTTCTTTAGATTCATTTCATTTTTCCAACTATGTGGTCTGTTTGTCTATTCATATGTGTACTTAAAAATAATAATTGAAGAATGAAAAATCCATCTGTTGGGATATAAAAAGTTCCTGTATTCACTAGCTACTAAATAAAAACCTAGAGGAAAATAAATAAATATGTCTGTCTGCCAGAAGGAACTCAAAGTATGATTGGCATCCATGTTTCTTTTACAATGTCTCTTCACTTGTCTCTTTACCTAAAGAGACTTTTAGAAACTACTGCACCTGGCTGAAAAATCAGTGACAGTGGCTTGGACAATGTCATGACCAAGGCTGAAGTCAGGCATGAGTTCACTTTTGTGGGGCCCTTTAAAGATTTGCTAGCTAAGAACAATTCCACACAAAAAGTCACGGAAAGTCATCACATGATACCAATAATTAAGGATAGTGATGGTATTTAGAGGACAATTGCATTTATTATAAATCTCTGTGGGTGACTGACAGAACCTCTGAAACAATATAAATGCTACTTCTCAGTTTAGTAGAAGAGAGAAGACAATGCTTTCTTCTGACTACACTTGGCAAGTCATTTGTTTACATTTTTGAACAGTGAGTTTCCTTTCCTCACTAATAATCACAAAAACACAATCAGTAAAAAGCACTTTTCTTGGTTGTCACTGGAAAATGCATTCTGAAATTGTTTGTTTCCCACTATTATTATAAAGCCTGTTATTTAAAACAAACCCCAAACCTTTACATGGAACATGGATGGAAATCATGCTTTGAGTCCTTTTTGTGGAGAGATATACCCACTTGTTTTTTTGTAGGTTTTGTTTAGTAGTAGGGTTTTTCAGCCTTGCTTCTTTGTCATTCACAGCTCTGGCTTTCATTTAGAAATTGTACATAGCCAAATGGATGGGGTGAGGAAGAGAAAGTTTCAGAAGTAATAAAAAAAATCACAAAACTTGAGAGGAGATACTAAGACAAATGTTTATGAAATTGACAGTGTTTCTCTCTATTGTAGAGGCAAACCAAACTTAACCAACATGGGCTCCTTGATGATCAAACCCATTCAGCGTGTGACGAAATACCCCCTGTTACTGTGCGAACTTCGCAACTCCACCCCTCCCTCCCACCCAGACTTCAGAGCACTGGAGGATGCCTTCGCTGCAGTCAAAGACATTAACGTAAACATCAATGAACTTAAACGACGGAAAGATTTAGGTAGGAAGAGATGTAATGAACTGGGTGGGTACTCCCCACGACTGGCCTGTTCTCTTTATGTGAGCCGGAATGTCTGAGAGTTAGAGCAGTTGTAGCGATCATGATCATTTGATGTCTCAAGTTAGAAGCTGGGGAGGAGAGTGTGGCTTTGTCTTGCCTGCTGGGTTCAGAAGATCACGAGGTACAAAAAAATGACCATTAAAGAAATCATACAGGTCTATATTCACCCCTGTGACCACTGCATGCCTGAGGACATACCGGGGGCTGAAGATACCCACCGCATACAGTCCTCCTGTCCCTGGCACTGCGTGTGGTAAGAAGGACACGCAGCAAGGCCGGGGAGCTGGAGCAGTGGGCAGTGAGAGCCAAACGGTGGCCGTGAAAGGGGCAGACTCAGGTGCGGGGCCCAGCTAACACCTCAGCCTGCCCGGTTCTGGCACACAAAGAATGGGGGTTTGGGGGCAGTGATCGTTCCAGTGAAGGGAGCAAGTGTATATTTTCTCAAATCAACAAATTATTGTTAACTCTTTGTTGGCTAAGATGTCAAGTTGGTGTCTTAAGTAGAGTGTAGATTTCAAAACCTAAGGCACAGTTCTGCGGTCCCCGTCATCAGGGTGAACAGTGTTGGCAGAGGTGGCGGTCCGCCTCGGTGGCAATGTTCCCTTGATTTTTAATTAGCTGTGCACTTCTAACACGAAACCTCAACTCAACACTAAAGCCACGGCAGGGCTTTGGAGCTGACTGCTCCAACCACTTCATTTATGTTTGTTATTTTTATTTTCAACTTTTAAATTAAAAATTGTATTTGTATTAATAACTTCAAATTATAAAGAAGGGTATAGGGTAAAAAGTGAAAGTAGTAGGGAAAAAGGCATCATAAACAGAATGAAAAGACAGCCCATGGACACAGGGTTACTATCTACAATATAACTATTGATAGTAAATCAATAATAAAAACATTTTTTCCTCGTGTTCACACTAACACCTTTGGATACGGCAGCCGTCGTGGGCCTGCAGAGAATAAAGCCAACACACAAGATAGGCTGTGGGGACTGTAGAGCAGCTAAACTAAGATTCACAACAGCCTTCTGTAGTTTCTTAATAATAAAAACATTTTAATACACAAAATTGATAATAGAAATAAGTAGTTTACAGTAAGACCAATACGGCTTTCTTTATTGAGTTTATTGGCGTGACGCTCGTTAACAAAACCACACAGGTTTCAAATCAACAAAACACCATCTGCACACCGCATCATGTACCCATCACCCAAAAGAAAGTCTTTTTCCTTCCCCTTCTATCCCCTTTGCCCTCTTCCACTCCCCCGCCCCTTTTCCCTCCGGCCATCACCACACTGTTGTCTGTGTCTGTGTGTGATTATATAGATTATATATACATATATAGTTTTGCTTAGTCCCTTCACCTTTTTTTCGCCCAGCCATCCAATCCCTCTCCCTTCTGACAGCTGTCAGTCTGTTCAAATGTATTTATGTTTCTACTTCTTTGTTAAATTACTTTGTTCTTTAGATTCCATGAAAAAGTGAGATTATATGGTATTTGTCTTTCTCTGACTGGCTTATTTCACTTAGCATAATATTCTCCAGAAGACCAATAAGTTTTTAAATGCTAAGCTTCACTAATAATCAGGGAAATACAAATTAAAATCACAATGATGTATTATTCCCAGCGTATCAGATTAGCAAAAAGATTTTTAATGGATAATGTTAGTGCTGAGTTTCAATCTGCTGGTACGAATGCAAATTGGAATCACCAATTAAGAGAACAATTTGGCAACATGTAGTGAAGTTGAAGATTCACACAACGCAGACTAGGAAAATCGGTCTCTAGATATTTGAGAAATGTTTGCCTATATGATCATAGAGAGGTGTATTGGTAAGTAGCATAGTTTATAATAGCAAAAGAAAGAAAGGAAGACAAGAAAATGGTTTATGTATTTATTCAGATAATAACTAAACTGTACATTATACACTGTGATATCTTGAGAACATAAAATTACAAACATTAATTAAAGTATATGTATCAATTGGATAAATTGAAACAATGCTGAGCTTCTTTTAAAAGTAAAGTATTGAGTGACAGAAGAATATATATAATTTGGTACCATTTTTATAAAGATTTACATCATTCAAAATAATACTATGTGTTATACGACTGCATACATATCAATAAAGGCATAAAAGTAGATGCAAATGCAGCGAGCCCATTACTTAGGATCACAATTCCCTGAGAGACTGAAGATGGAGTTCAGAGAAGCTTCACCTGTTATGTGATTTTTTTTAATTAAAAAATTGGAAAAAGGAAAAATTAGGATTTGGCAAAGCTAGGAGATAGATAGTAGCTGTTATAGTCTTTTTATTTTCGTGTTTGCTTAAAATAGTTCAGTTTTAAAGAGAAAAACTTTTCATTTCCCACGATTCTAGTTTGCATAGCTAAGATTTTATCAAGTATTCTTCAGACTTTCTCTGTCTTCTTTTCTCTTCTCTCTCACTCTCTTCTTCTCTCATTCCTCCCTGCGACACGGATGATGTACTACAGTTTGCTGGGGTTTCAGTAACAAATGATCATATATCATGAACATTCTTTCAGTTAATATGGCCTTCTTTTTAATGGTTCTGTAGTATTCCATTTATGAGTAAGTCATAACTTAGTAAACTATTCTTCTAGGATGAATGTTCAGCTTGTTTCCAATATTTTGCTGTTAGAATAAAAAAGTGCCATAGCAAACCAAACTTTGTAAGCTTATGGAATACAGATTACTGTGCGTGCACACCCCGGTCCTAGACTACAAATATTTTATTTTTTTAAGATCCCACTAAATTGTTCTGTATAAAAACTGTGTTAGTTTAATCCTCACTGACAGTATATAAGATTGCTCATCTCTCCAGACCATTACCAAAAAGAATGTTAGGAATATTTAACATTTGAACAATATGAGAAGTAAAAATGATTTTTAAGTTAAAAAAAAGTAAAGCTCAGAGGGTGACTCAGTTTACCCCAAATCTCCCTCCTAATGGAAAGCACCTCTAGGATTGGCCATCTCTTTAGGTTGATGTCCCTTCATGAGTTAGGTCTCAATGCTTCATTCTAGAGACTGCAGATGGCAAATCTCTTATCTGAGAAGAGAGGAAGAGGTTTTATTTAGTATCTGGGATTTCATCATCGTGGGAGGTAAGTGAAACTTGGGCTTTGAGGAGCTCACAGCCTTGGACAGCAGAGTGTCTGAAGGATGCTGGGGTGGTGGCTGGAGTTAGGACAGGGCAGTGGGGCTGGGATGTATTGTGTTTGCTGTAGAGAGACAAAAATGATGCGCATTTTACATTAAATATAAATATTAATCCTGTATACTTTGGATGAAGCACACTTTCTATGCTGCCCATGTCCAGATATATCATTGCATTCTTTTGTTTCAGTTCTAAAATATAAGAAGAATGACGAGGATGAAACATTTAAAGATAAATTGTCTAAACTAAATATTCATTCAATTAGCAAGAAATCAAAGAGAATGACAAATTATCTAAAGATTCTGACCAGAGGAGAATCACAGGTAATTTCTCTTTTGGGCCACATAAATTTTCTTGGGGAACGTGAACACTGATATCTTGTTACATTTTGTCTTGTCACTACGCAGCTGTTTCTGGAACACAGAGAATCAAGGTAATTGCCCAATGCTCTTATGCTGTTTTTCTCTCTCTCTCCCCATTTTTGAAGAAAATAGAGTGAGGTGGGTTTGCCACTATCTTAGCTGTTGTACTTTAGGCAAAGAGAGAGATGGACAGAGGATGGGACTCAACAAGGGATGTCCCCCGAGTCCTGACACTCACTACAGAGCAATGAGCTCCTTTCATCCCTGTCTTACTTCTGCTTTTTAGGTTTTCATTTTTAACAGCTGTATTGAGTTTTAATGAACATACTGCACAACTCATTCTTATAAGAACAATTCAATGGTTTTTAGTAAATGTGTAGAGTTTTAAAAAATGTATTGTTACTCTGTTATGGTTTTCCCAATTTTCCCCCTTTGCCCTGCTGCACCCCACCTAGCCCCCCCACTCCCACAGTCAGTCCCCACCCTGTTGCCCGCATTCGTGGGTCGGTCACTGATGTTCTTTGACTAGTCCCTTCCTCTTCTTTCCACCATTATCCCCTTCCCCTCTGGTCACCATCAGTTTGTTCTTTATTTCCATGTCTCTGGTTCTATTTTGCTTGTTAGTTTGTTTTATTCATTACATTCCTCTTATAAGTGAGATCATATGGTATTTGTCCCTCACCACCTGGCTTATCTCACTTAGCATAATGCTCTCCAGTTCCATCTATGCTATTGCAAAAAGCAAAAATTCCTTTCTTCTTTCTGCTACATTGATTCCATTGTGTAAATGTACCACAGTGTTTTGATCCATTCATCTACTGATGGGCAGTTAGGCTGTTTCCAGCATTTGCCTATTGTAAATAGCCCTGCTATGAACATTGGGGTGCATAGGTTCTTTTGGTGTTTTGGGATTCTTAGGGTATAATCCCAGCAGTGGAATCACTGGATCAAAAAGCAGTTCCACTTTTAGTTTTCTGAGGAATTTCCATGCTGTTTTCCACAGTGCCTGCACCAGTCTGCATTTCCACCAACAGTGCACTAGGGTTCCCTTTCCTTCCACATCCTCCTCAGGGCTTGTTGTTTGTTGATTTGTTTATAGTGACTATTCTAACAAATGTGTGGTGATATCTTATCATGGCTTTAATTTGCATCTCTCTGATGGCTAGTGATGTTGAGCATCTTTTCATGCGTCTCTGGGCTGTCTGTATGTCCTCCTTGGAGAAGTGTCTGTTCAGGTCCTTTGACGATTTTTAATTGGACTATTTGTCTTCCTTGTGTTGAGTCAGATGAGTTCTTTATATATTTTGGAGATCAACCCCTTTTCCAATGTGTCATTGGCAAACATCAGATTGAATAAATTTTTCACCTTTTACTTCTGCTTTGGAAAAACCTCCCTTTCCCTTAAGGTTCCCTTCATGTTCATCTTATCTTTCTTTCACCTACAGTAAAAAGTGTTTAGGTGAACACACTATTATGATATTTTCCTACCCCTTCTCCACTACATCTACCCTCCCCGCCCCCAGATACACATTATATTCCTGGGTAATTGTTTTGCATAAGCAAAACTTGAACCACGTTCACCCCAACCCCTAATGCATAACAGATGGGTAAGCAAAGGCTCTCAAACTTTAATGCGCATAATAATTAACTGAGGAGGTTGCTAGAAGAGTCAGGGGTTCCATCTGGTTCAAGGGTCCAATCTCAAAGTCTGTATTTTTACAAAGACTCCAAGGGACTTCTAACCAAATGTGGGCAAGATGGTTCTTTAGATCCTATATACTGTATTTTGCCATGTATAATGCACACACATGTTTAATGCCCTTTATATGTAGGATTATTATGCCCACTATTACACCAATGGTATGTGATCATTACACCATGTATAATGCGCATCTTTACTGTTTCCTCAAAACTTTGGGCAAAAAAGTACACATTACACATGGCAGAATACAGTGGTACTGATTTCATCCCCTATTATTTAACTTCTCTAACGAAGGTTCTTGATTTGGACTAGAGACAGCATCTGCCTCACTCTCCAGCTGCTTTGTTCTCCTTTCTGGTTTCCCATTGTCTTTGCAGCTCTCCAACCACTGAGCTCAAAGCGGCCTCTTCCTCCTCTAGGTGTCTAACCAACTTCCTGAGTGTATCCCAGTTGTGGCACTGTTCATATTTGCCACTATTTCCAGGCAGATAGTGAGAACAAAATCTTTGAAATTGTCCAGATCTGGGTTTGAATCTCACCTCAGTCACTTAATATTTGCCTTTGGGGACATGAATTAAATTCAGTATAATCTTCTGTAAACTGGGGGATTATACCAGGACCTATACACGGCGTGGCTGTGAGGAGTAAATGGAGTGATGCATATAGTGAGTGTACCCAACACAGGTGGGTAAGCACTCAAAATATATGCTGGTATCATTATCATCATCATCATTGTCATCACCATTATTTTATGTCATTGCCTTGAATTCTTATTTACCGTTTAACGTGCAGACTCCTTACTTCTCATGTGGATATAAGCTCCTTTATGCATGGTGTATGAATCAGGTCTTTACTTTCTGTATTTTCTGATTTTTTGACATCTTTAAAAGGCTTGCTGACTAAGGAGACCGCCCAGCCCAGGGCTAGCCTGTTCTTAGAGACGGCCACAGGCTCAGCTGGGATCACTCCTTTCATGCGCAAACCAACTGATCCAGAATCTACAGACCCAACCACCTCCTCACAGAATCCACACACCAGTGCTCTTCTGCCCTAAATGCCAGGGTCGGCTAACGAGCACTCAGAGGCCACCAGCTGTTGCCAAGCCCTGGAGAATTATCCAGGCTGGTCAGCCCTGAACTGCTCACCCTGCCCCAGTAAAGACTCAGGCTTTGACTTTGTCCTTGATCCATCCTGCCACTTGACCAAGACCTAGTGACCCCTCTGTGGCCCTGAATGACATGTGGTGATGCCCCTATATAGGACCTGTGAGCATAATGCACTTTTTCCAAGCCTTGTTGCTGTTTTCTCTCTGGCCACAATGACTTTCCTGCACCATATCCATATGGACTTTCTTGGAACATATGCTTCTTATTATTCTTTTGCTTACTTCTTTGTATTCTTCCAGGGACTCAGTGGGTCTGTTGCATAAAGGAGGTAACTCCAGGCCTCTCCTCTCAATGTGGAGCTACAATGTGGGATGTTTGAGACATTCCCAGTGTGTGGTCATAGGTCAGGGAAAGGAAAATCAAGACGTTTCAACTAAAGGAAGCAGTGATAAAACTGAACTGGGAATTCATTTGAGAAGAGACTGTAGCTTCCAGAGGCATGCGGAAATGTGTGCAAACAATTCTCCCCTACGCTTTAAAATGTTGCTTCTGATTTAAGACAATTCTACTGTGAAACAGTAGACTGATCTTAATTCTGGGCAGGCTTTTGTGAAAGATGTTGCATTCCTTAACATATTTATCATCAGCTCCTGGTATTTTTCAACTGCGGACTGAAAGTGAATTATAGTCAAAATGGCCTGGAGGGATATTAATTAGATTTCCCCCCTAATATTTTGAGAGGATGTCCTGTCAGCAATAAAGCTTCTCACTGGTAATCAGAAAATCAGCTGCATTGGCTGGACTGTAGAAGAGATAAATCTCAAATCAGTCAATTTTGCACTTGTCAGCAGCTCAAGGGAGATATTTGGTGAAGTTCAGATAAAACTGTTGCCCAAGAAGAAGATTCTATTCAATTCATCACACATGCATTGGACTCTCAGGTGCCAGACACTGTGTAGAGACTGGGAGTACAAAGAGGTTCTGAATTCAGATGAGTTGGCTTTGAATCCTGGTCCCGCCTATTAACATGGGCGAGTTTCTTTAACTTCCTGTATTAGTTAGGAGAAAGGCCAAGCTTCTGTCACCAAGAGACTCCAGAGCATGAGCTTGACAGAGCTCATCGTTTATTTCTCTCTCTTATAATAGTCTTGAGATGTGAGTCCAGATGGGCTCTTCCTCATGACCTGCTTAGAAAGCCAGTTCTCCCCAGTTTTGTGCTTTGCTGTCTCCTAAACATATTGTCTTCATCTTCCCGACTGAAGCTGGGTTACTGCCAGGTCTCCATTCAAGTCCCCAAGATGGTGTAGTAAGGCTGAGATTCAAAAATGGAATACATCCCTTTTGCTTACATCTTACTTACCCAAACCCAGTTTCCAGGACAGAGCCAGCCGCTAGGGAACCTGGAAAGTGTCATGACTGACAGGGCCAGCGTGTGTCTGCCTTAAACTAGAGGTTCGGGTCCCACCAATAAACAGGGAAACATTAACAATTGCTGCCCTACCTCCTGACACCTATTTCTTGATCTCCCAAATGGGATTCATCACGGCACCTATCCCATGGGGTTGTATCAGAAGTAAAATGAGAAAATAGAAGACAGACTTTAGCAGATTGTCTGGAATGTAGTGTTTAATTAAGGTTAGTTATTATAATGAAGATAAAAAGGCTCAATCTCAAATGCTTGTGATCTACTAGTGGAGAGAGTAGCTTAAATAATGAACTAGGGAGGATTCATAGAGGGGGCAATAGTTGAGCAAGTTCTTAAAAAACAAACAGTTTTTCAAGGCAGAAAAGGAACAGCAGCATATTCCAAAGCAAAATAAAGCAGCACGGCTTGACTCCAGAGAAATAGCAATGGGTTTTATTTCTCATAGTGTGATCCTTAGTCTCCTACTTTAAAATCATCTGGGTCCCAGCCAAGAAATACTACACAAATGGCTGGTGATGAATTTTTGAAAACCGCATTATAAAAAAAACCTACCCTAGCCTATTGTCATGCATGTAAAATTGAGTTAGAGCATAGACATCCTCAAGAAGCAAAGAGGTTAAATTTTGTGTGGATGACAAAGAACTACGCTGCCCATTTAAACAAGAATTCTAGATAAACAATATTAAGGGCTTTAAAAATAAAAATGTCACCATTTTCTATGCAGTCAGCTCTAAGGTCAACTGTCTTAAATTAACAAATGTGTGAGCCAAAGACAGTTACGGTTAGCATCCAGCACCAAACTGCAGAATACCCACCACAGTTCATGAAACGTTTGTGTGCTCACGCAGATTCTGCCTGCAGGGGCCTGTTTCTGACCTGGCACAGCCATTTTCATCGCCAAGAAACACTTCTCGCCATTGAGCATAGTGTGTATGCCCAGACACTGCCACAACACATAAGAACCATATTTTTCTGAATGCTTAACATGTGAGATAACAGAAAAATAACTTAGTACACATGATCACTGTCTGGACTGCTGAGTTTCCTTAACAGAGGGCTCATTTTGCTAAGATTATAATCTTTCACATTTGAGTTCCTAAAGAACGATCACATTTCTTTTGCCAGGAACCTGAGAAAATTTTCTGAATAACCACTGTGGAGTGAATTGCAATGAGTCACAGCAGCAAAACTAGACATTCCAGTCAATAGGTCACACTTTTATTTTAATTTCCACTTTATTTTTACTCCTTATTTTATAAACCCACCAATGTAACATAATTTAAGGGTACATACATCATACATGGCCTTGAAAACAGCAGAGAGAAGTTTCGTGTCCCACACTCCGGGGACACAGGTGAAGCTCTCTGAGAACTGAACAGCAAAGGGAGCGGTGGCCTGTGCTCTTGCTGCCCATCAGCTGTGCCATGTGCCGGCACAGGGGGAGTCCTGTGATTGTGAAAGGTTTTCTTTCATCTTAACAAGGAGCGTGCTGGTGATATGCTAGGCCAATACAGTCTGAGGTATTTTTCTTTAACTATCAGATTCACTTGAGTCATAAAAATACATAATTCCATCTCTATTTTAGGTGAAAGACAACACCTTTAACAGAGAAGAAAAGCTCTTTAGATCTTTAGAAAAGACCGTGAGGCACTGTGTGAAGAACATGTCGTTCTGTCTTCAACATGTACAGGTAGGGGCGATACGGCTGTCTTCAGTGTTTCCACCATTAGGTACTGATGCCCGTGGTTACCACAAAGAGCACATGTGACTGTTCACTCATTGCGTGATGACGCCTACTGCATCAAATCAGGGGGACTGCCAGCTGCTGGTGAGGAAAGCCAATACAAAGATGCAGACCTTGGCCTCGGTTCCCTTATCTGCTCAGCCCTCCCTGACCCCAGCTGCCCGACTGTGGGGTGTTTGCTGTTGTGCGATGGGCCTGGGTCGTCAGCATGTTTCCCTGGAGATGAGTTCAGCAATGCAAACTGCAGACGAGGCAGAAATTCCCTCTGTTTGTCTCGTTTGACTATTCTAGCCCAGCTCTTCCCGGTACTCAAAACACATACTCGCAAATTGAAGACTAGAACTGAAAGAAAAAAGATGATTGAAGAGGGGCATAAAATAAAATGAGAAGTTATAAAGTGAAAAGTGCATAACATACAGGCCTTTTCAGAAACCCACAAAGCCCATGTCTGGGTCTCAGGTTTAGCCGGATGCTCCCCAGCAGCTGACCCCTGAACAGAAAGGCGATCACAGTTCTGAGCACCTCTGTGTGTTTTACAACCAGCATGTTGTAATGCCCCCTTTACAGGTCTGAACAAAATGGATAGATAATTCAACCTGAAGTAGGTGGGCACACATAAAAGGAAATCAATATAAATGAAAATAAATTCTAACAACATGATGGAAATTAAAATATGAACCCACAGAACCACAGTAAATGACAGAAATACCCCACAACTTTCCTGTCCACCACAAGGTTGCGCTGCCCTTGTTGAGAAGCAGACTTAAACAAAGCAATTGGAATACAGTATAATTCTATTCACTGGGCATACCAGCCCAGAGTTCGTTCTAAAGGCTCTCATAGAAGAAACAACATCCTGACAATTGTCATAACTATGCAACATAGATGGTGAGCAGAGTTGCATGTAGGCCAGTTAATAAATGGTTGCCACCCCATTTTCCAGTTTTTCTCTTCGATATCTGTCTTTGGAATCAAATGTTTGCATATTTAGATAAATTATCACAGCCACAGAGAATTGACAGGCACACAATCATTTTGTGACAAAGTTCTATGCTATGTAACCAAAAAGCCACATTCTTTTCTTATTCATTAACTGATGCAAAGCTTGATTTTACAATTAGGTTTACTAATCTCTTCCTAAAGCACTGACTTCTGTGAAAAGAAAACCAAAACTGATCTTTAACAGCCAGAGGACAGTGGGAACCCTGCTCTTGGTACATATTTTACTCAGAGGACAGTGGGACACTTTTTAAGTATTTCACATTTTAAAGTACACATTTTAAGGAGCAAATGCCTCTTGGGAACATGTACAGGGAAGTCTTCTATTTCCACTGACTGTTTCAACAACAATGTGAGCATCTTCTCTTAAAAAGAGCATTACATCCACTAAGGAAAACTGAAGACATACATCAAAGAGGAGTGATTTTTTTTAAAAAATGAGGGATCTGTAAGAATTGAACGCTGAAGAATAGCCAGTGGGGGAATTTCATAAAAGGGAGTGCCATCCGGAGCAGTGTGAGGCATGGGGAAAAGTGAGAAATAGCTTGTAACAAGTAACCCAAGTATTCATGGATTTTTTCCCTTTCTTTTTTCCTTCACACCTCTCAGTGAAAATGGAGAGCTCTGATGATGATGTGTCCGTCTGGGATGTGTGAACTTGTACTGACTTGAGAACTTTGCCTTTTGTGTGACTTTGTTTTTCGGTTTCAGGAGGCCGTGGGCTCACCTCTGCAGAGCGTGAAGGAGCTCCGGGAGATTTCCCGCCCCAAGGACGAGGAGGAGAGGGGCCACTCGGAGGCCCCGAGTCATGCCTCGAATCCCTGCGATGACTTTGTGAGTCACTCATCTTCACAGAGCAATGCAAATTAAATAATAGGTTTAAAAGAAAAGCTGATTTTCATCGACTTTCTCTGAAGTTAGAAATAAAACATGCACTAAAGCAAATAACTAATGTAAAAATTGGTGTATTTAAAACAGAAAATTGTATCATTAAATATTTTAAAGTGGACTAGCGAAGATTTCACTAAAATAAAAATTTAAGAGGGCCCCAGATTGTGTTTCTAGGGGGTGTGTCTGTGCCACTAAAATCAACACTTTCTAAAGTCTGCATGTGATAGAGTGAGGACTTACTAAGTGAGAAAGTCGTGATTTTTTTCTTAATGGAGTCTCTGGAAAAGCTCGGAGTTCTTACAGGATGCACAAATACCCTCTCCAAAGGCATGACTTTTATGAACATACTGTAGACTCCGAGTAAAGCCTTTTTATTGAGAAAGCATGTTCACATAAGAGTCGTATATTATGTCTCCTGTTCTGAGGTAAATACTTGTTTTCTAAGAGTTCTATAAAATATACAGACGCATAAAACAGACTTAGACTTACTCAGACTTAAAAATGTAACACTTTAGGACACAATCGGCATTAGCTTAATCCTCCACTGTATTTAAAGAGGAAGCAATACTCTGTGGTCATTTCTATCACAGGAACAAAATACCTATAACGAGGGGGTACTATCTGTAAAAGGGATACAATTCCACTACCAAACCAGGGTAGCCACAAAATTGGGGCAGATGTGAAAGGAATTGGGGCAGATTGTGAAAGAACACAATCTCTTCTAGGACTTTCTACCTTCCTTTCGTTGCCAGCAAATGCAATATGGTGACTTATCTATGCAATATTTTAATTGACTTTAGACAGAGAAGGAAGGAGAAAAACCTCAATTTGCTTATGCATTCCACTTACTTTTACATTCGTTGGTAGATTCTTGAATGTGCCCTGACCTGAATGCAACCCTGGCCTATCAGGCAGACGCTCTAACCAACTGAGCTACTCGGCCAGGCCTACAGTCTTGGCAGTCAAAGGGTAGAATAGAGATCACCTCCTCCGCCCCCCCCCCCCCCCCCCCCCCCGCACTCTGGGTGCTGGCTCTGGGATGAGAAAGAAGCGGAAGGGGAAAGTGTGGAAGGAGATGATCCCAAGGAAAAAAACAGCAGCTGTAGACGGAAAGGTGAAACATATTTGTGGTGTGAAGGCTTCAACTTTTATATTCTTCCTTCTCACCCTTCAGATTCAATGTTAGAGTCTACACTGCTGTTTGAAGTCTTTGAATAGATTAGCTAGACAGAGAAATGATCATGTCCTCTCTGAACATGGCTAGACACTTCCCTGTCTCCCCTGTGCTCCTGCCGGGAGGAGTGAGCCAACTGTTAACCGCGGGGATGCTCCGTGACAACACCGTTTCCTCCTTTGGCAGGCAGCTCATTTACAGAAGCTCGTCCTGACGCCTCTGGCAGCCCTGCTGTCCCTGTTCCCAGGGCCTCACAAGCTCATCCAGAAACGCTATGACAAACTGCTGGACTACAACAGCTACCTGCAGGGGGCAGCAGGAGATGAGTCCGACTTGGCCAAGAAGGAGTATGAGGCCCTCAACGCCCAGCTCGTGGAAGAGCTTCAGGTGTTCAACCAGTCCGCGCGGAAGATCCTGTGGAACTGTCTGTGCAGTTTCATCGCCCTCCTTAGGGACCTGGCGCTGGTGGTACAGCGCCTTTATTCCACCGTGGTGCCGGTAAGCGCAGCGCCAGCACCCAGCCACCTGGGTCTGCAGCGTCTATCAGAAACCGCGTCCGTGCAAATCAGCCGTGTTCAGAGTCCGCGCGAGTGCGGTGCCGGTGCGTGCGTGTGTGGTTTTCGCTTTAACTGAAGCCAGATAGCCTCCTGCTTCTTCTCTCTATTCTCCATAGGAAGCTAAAAGAGAGTTTCCTAATTCAGGTTTGCTGTAACTTCCGCACTTGCAGTTTGCTTTGGAAATTACTTTTCAAACTTTGCACTTTGCTCCTCTCGCTGATGAAACCAATTTCGCTCCACCTGCCTGATGCTGTGTTTCAGCTTCTCAATTTATATTTTGTGTTCTTTTCTCACTCACTAGTTTTCCAGTGTTAACCATGACTAAGATGTGTACCCCAAAAGGAGGCCATGGCAGTGTAATGACAGAAGTAGGGTGATTGTCAAACCAGTCGTCGTTTGCTTTTGTTCTCCTCCAAAGAAGAGAAGCCCGGGTGTGTGTGCACAAATATGTGCACACATCTCAGTTAACTTTCCATTAGGATGGCTGTGTTCAACCTTCTTCATCTCATGGCACATGTAGACGTAATTACTAAAACTCTGCAGCACACTATATATATATATATATATATATATATATATACACACATATATACATATATATATATTTATATTTATATATATATATTTGATCTGAAAAAAATTAGTATAATTTTGATTCATTTACACCAACGGTTATTGTTGTGTGTTGGCTGTTGTCCTTTCTTTAATAATCTAAGGGAAAAGAGGTCAGTGCCCCTGACTAAACAGTCAGGTGTTGCCTGTTTTAAACATTCTTGCAGTACACCAGTGTGCTGTGGTACACTGGCTAAAAATCACTGCATTACGTTATGGTTTTATAATTATTCTCTGAAGAGGAAGAAAGATATTTACAACCTAAGGTCAACTTCAAAAAATCAGTTTGCTTTCTTGGCCTTTCACTTTAAGTGTATTGTTTCTCATTCAGCTGGCTAGATATTTAATGGACATTTGGAGAAATTGTCTCCATTTATTATTGTGTATCTTTCAACTTTTCCTTTGAATTAAATTATATTGAATCATCAGGTGCTACATTTACAAGGTTCAAAAGGCAAAACTGTGTAAAAATATATAAGCACCCACTCCTGTCTCCCAGCAACCCTGTCTCCTGCTCCCACCCCCGTGATTATTCATTTATTTTTACCCACCTGTGGCTCCTATATGACATGTTTTTTTTGACATGTTTTAAAATTTATTTTTAATGGGCTAAAGATAGTTTATTCAATAAACAGGGAAAATTGAACAGATACATACAAAGAAATGAAATTCGACCACCTTCTTATGCCACACACAAGAATACATTTTAAATGGATTAAAGACTTAAATGTTAAAAATACAAATGCTTCACGAATTTGCGCATCATCCTTGCGCAGGGGCCATGCGAACCTTCTCTGTACTGTTCCAATTTTAGCGTACGTGCCACTGAGGCGATCACTCCTGTATGACATTAAAGGTACACTATAATACATACTGTTACTTTCTACACAAAACTAGCAACTTGCTTTTTAACAGCCTGAGGAGGCGTCCATGTCCGTGCAGAGAGCCGCCTCACCCCCTTTACAGCTGTCTACCTGTCTGCCGTAGAGCTGTGTATTCCCAGCCCACCATTCGGGGTTGGGGAGAGGGTAGGGAAGAGGCAGTCACCAAGCTCCGCTGAAATGTGAAAGAATCTGAGGGTCCAACTGCTTCATAACAGCTCCGATTGTCCGTAACTACAAAACAAATTACACCAAATGTGGTGGTAGGAAACAACCAGTGTTCGTTTACTATGATTGCCTCTCATGGTTCTGGGCATGCACTGGGCTCCCATCGTCATTCTCAGTGTTGCTCATGAGGTCGCAGTCAAATACCAGCTGGAACTGGAGTCATCAAGAAAATGTCCTCAGGCCTTTGGAGGCTGAGGATGGGACGACGAGGGGAGTCAAACAGCTGGAGCCTCGGATACTGGGGCTCCACACACCCCCTCTGGCCTTCTCTCCTCTCTGATATCTCAACACGGGCTTTTGATACCGTGGCATAACGCAACTTGAGTTCTTCTATGGTGACGAAAGTCTCCCAAGAGTGAGTGTCCCAAGAGAAACAGGCAGATACTGCATGATCTTTTTTAGCTTAATTTTGAAAGTCAGACAGCATCATTTCCATTGTTCTATCCTTTTCAGCATTTTCCTCACTGAGGTGAGAGTAAAGCCCCCCTCAGTTCTGAGGGGAAGGGACATGGATCCCATCCACCTCTTCCTAGAAAGCACAACTCTGATTTAAAACAACTTATCCTCTTTCCACTTCACACTATCCCACTCCAGCACGTGGAAGGTGACTGCTGCCATTAGTTCCTGAGCCTTTAAAAAGAAATTTACTGCTATTTTCTTTTTCTGTTCTCCTTTTATTAGGCTTAAATCTTTACAAAATGATCTCTATCATTTTAGTAGGATTTCTGGAGACAGAGAATTAGACCATTTTTATCTGGAAGTTCTAACATTGGACTAATTGTTCGCCGTGGAGCTATCGTGTACTTTCTCAACTGCCCTTCACAGCTCTCCTAAATTAAGTGCCTAAATGGTTAAGTAGTTGCCTGGGAACAATGCCATATTATTTCTACCTACAGGTACCGCTGTTGGTTTCAAACATCTCTGAAATGCAGAATAGAGTACTAGAAGAAGTTCAAAGTCTAAATTTTGTAAAGGATAACAGTGCCACATTTATTGAGAGGAAACTTAGTTTTGAAAAGAAGAAGCCTGGGCAAATTCCGGTGAGTTTGGTAACATTGATGGCAATGATGGCTGTCAATTCTTTGCCTTTTTAAAATGGTAATATATTATTTTCCATATTGCTTATCTCATTGTAATATCCTATAATTACAACTTACTTTAAATTTTTAAAAAGGTTTTATTTATTATTTTTAAACAGAGGAGGAGGGAGGGAGACATCAATGTGTGGTTGTCTCTCATGCACCCCCCCACTGGGGACCTGGCCTGCAACCCAGGCAATGTGCCCTGACTGGGAATGGAACTGATGACCCTTTGGTTTGCAGGCTGGTGCTCAATCTACTGAGCCACACCAGCCATGGCTACATGCTTATTTTATACAGATTTTTTCCCATTTCTATTCTCTGTAAACTCTGTAAGGTTATAGATTTTTCTCTATTTTGTATATAATGTATTCCAAGCAACTAAAATGGTGCCTGATACAAAGTAGACACTCTATAAATATTTGTTGAATAAATGAATATAATTTTATGGAGTAAAATTGTGTAGTTTAAAACTTTCATTTTTCTCCAAATAAGGAATCTCAGCCCCCAGAGATGAAGTGGCTTTCTCAAAGTCAGTGGCAGAGCTGGGACACAGCCAGACCTCCTGACTTCAGTCTAGTTTACTGATATTATTTCCCCCCCCCAAAAGACATGCTCATCATGTATGAGTTACTTAATTAACTATTATTTATCAAGTGCTTAATATGCAAGGGACTGTCTAGAGTATGACAAAAAAACTAAAAGTTTGTCCAACATATAAGAGGGATTAGAACCTCTGCCTTTTTATTTTCATTGAATTTTCTTTCTTCTCTACAACACTGCCCTCGTGTGCTAAGTAGAGATTTTTTCCACTGTGTAACTCACCTGAATACTTCACAATGATAACCCAATCTGTGCCTCAACACTGAAATAATCCCAAATCTATGTGTAGCTTCAACGTTTAAAAATTTCCAGAGTATTTATCAACCCAGTGAGGATTTTGTTATACATCTATCTAAACCAAAATTTCTCCTGATTTCTCCCAGCCCGAAGTGCCACATCAAACTGACACTCACCGCTCCAAACTTCTATCTACATACAGTACAGAAGAACTCTACCAGGCTAAGCGCAGGTGCAATGCTACACAAGAGTACGACATCAATCTTTCGGAAGGGGAGTTGGTGGCTGTGATGGAGCAGAAAGATCCATCAGGGAGTTCCAGCAGGTGGCTCGTTGACACAGGAAGTAAGTGTTCTGCCTAAGGTGCACAGAACTGCCCCGTCTCCTCTGCTTGAAGTTCTCCCAGGACCTTTGTGTGCTTCTCTAAACACAGATGCTGGCAGGCGTACACAAATGACCTTGTTTCTTCTTTCTTTGTATTCCTGCCCAGTTATAAAAGGATACGTGTACTCTTCCTTCCTAAAACCCTACAATCCAGCAAAAGTGCAGAAGGAGGGTGACGAGAGCAAGTCCTTCGATGATGACTTTGATAACATCAGCCTTTTTGTGTCTGCGCGGCCAGCTCGGGACAGTGTCACGAGCACCCCAGAAGGTAGCATAAGTGACAGCAGCTCCTCTCTCAGTGGCACAGGCGGAAAGTTTGAGACAAACGGCACTGACGTTGACAGTTTTCAAGAGATAGATGAACAGGTAAGAATTTCAACCTTGAGGTAAAAATGCTCGGCTGTTCAAATCATGAAAGATGTTCTTGCTGATGGGGCTCTCTCATACTTTAAGATTTGGGATAAGAGCATCAGCTTTGACATCAGGAAGACCTAACTCTCTTAGCACTTACTGTCTGTGCAAGTTTTTGCAAGGAGTTCATTTTCTGAGACTGTTTCCTCGAATGCAGGAAAGAGGACAGTGATTCTTAGTTTGCAGATTGATGTGAGGATTAGATAATGTGTGTGTGGAAAGTACAGAGTGGACACTCAGTAAACAGCAGTGTGGTTGTTACCACCCTGCCGTGATATGTTGCGAGTGAAGGTGATTTGGTTATACTCCTCACCAGGGAAAACAGCTGCCATGAACAGATTGCCAGCAGCGTGGAGAATTGTTCCTGGTTCTTCCGAGAGCAATATTTCCATTGTTATCTATGAATTGGACATTTTAAATCTTATATAATAGTATATACTACATACTGAAATGGTAAGAGCTACTTTTCCCTCACTGCGTCAATGCAAAGGCTATTGGGATGATCCTTTTTTGAAGTAATGAGTTAACTATAATGTAAGGCTTCCTTTCTTTGACCCCAGAGAGTTTCGGTCCATTTAACTATTAATCCCCAACTGGTAAGCAACTCATTGTTTTTTGTAACTTGCTTTTTTTGTATGGTGGCTTTTTATTAATTTTGTTTTTATAAGGGTAATACATGTTATTTGTGAAAAATTTTAAAAGTAGAAAGATTATGTATATAAATTATAAGTGAAGGTCTTTATTCTCTCCTCAGTTATACTCTAATTCAGAGACTATTCAGGCATATCTTTCCAGACATTGTGCACATACAAATACATATGTGAGTGGGAACACACATGCACTGCATATACAAACATATATGTGAGTGGGAATGCACATGCACTACACATACAAACATATGTGAGAGTGGGAACACACATGCACTACATTTTTCACTAAATGTATTTTAGACAACAGTACTTAAATATCTACCTTAATTTTAAAGACAAATCTGCACAGCATTTCTTTTTGTGGATATATCATAATTTATAAAGCTATTACCCTAACAACAGACATTTAGAATATTTGGGATTTTTAAAATTTCAAACAATATTTTAGGCGAGACCTTTGTTCATCTATTTTGTGCACATACATGAATATGTTTGTAGGGAAATTTTCTAATTATATTAGAATATCAAAGGATGTATATATTTAAAATCTTGGTAGACATTGCCATCCTACTCTCCAAAAATATTTTATCTATTCAGTTTCTTTCATCAACAACACATGGATTGCCATCCAACTCATGACTGATACTTCAAAAAAATCTTTATTGTAAAAAAGCAAGTTCATGTCAGGTCTTATTCACATACCATAAAATTAACCAGTTTTAAGTACGCACTTCAACCATGCTCAGTGTATCCCCAGGGCTGTGCGATCATCACCCAAACCCGACTTCAGGACACTCCCTGCAGGGAGAAGGTCCTTCGCATGTATTTGCAGTTGCTCTTCTCTGCCACTTCCAGCCCCAGGGAGTTGTCAGTCTATTTTTTTTCCTTCCCAGATTTACCTTTTCTCTGTATTTCATGTTAATGGAATCATGCAGTATGTGGCGTTCTGCATCTGGCTTCCTTCACTTAGCATACTTTTTTGAGATTCATCTATGCTCTAGTATGTATATGTACTTTGTTGCTTTTACTACCTAATAGTATTTTATTCAATGGAGACAGCATATGTTGTTCATCCACTAAAAGCTGATGAACATTTTGGGTGATTTTTATTATGAATAACTCTGCTATCACCATTTGTGTGCAGGGCCTTATGTGAATTTAATTTCTCTCAAGTAGATACCTTGCAGTGGAATTGCTTGCTGATATAGTAAATTTATGCTTGACTTTTTAAGAAACTGACAGATTGTCATTCAAAGTGATTGCATGATTTTACATACCCAGTAGCAATGTGTGAGGATTGTGGATTCGTTTCTTCATATTGTTGCTTTACTTTCCGTTTTCTTTATTACAACCATCTTAATGGGAATCTCACTGTGGCTCTAATTTGCATTTTCCTATATGACTCATGCTGTGGAGTATCTTCCATGTACTTATTGGCCATTTCTCTATCTTCTTTGGTGAAATGTCTTTTCAAATATTTATCTATTTTAAAATGGGGTCATTTGCCTCCTAATATTTGATGCAAGGGTTCCTTATATACTCTGGCTGCAGTTCTTTATCATGTATAAAATTTGCAAACATTTTCTCCCAGTCATAACTGATTCTTAACTTCTCTGAAAACTACTGGTGTTCTTATCACTTTCCTGTCTTGGTCCTCAGCCTTCAAAACACAATTTTCCTATTACTTCTTTAGACTTTTAGTCTCTTCATTGTTTCTATAATATTGAATATCGCATTATAATACCAATGGATACATGAATCAGTGAAATCTATATATTTGATCAAATGCCCTGGCAGACTTTGCCTTATCCCAATAACCTACAAAGAAATTTGAGGACCATATTTGTCAAGTCACCCTAGAGCAGGCTTGATGCTGAGTTCTAGTCCTAACTTGACTTTACTTTTAGGGTAATTACCTCAATTAGGTTCGCTCAGCGTGGAATTTGTAGTCTAAAACTACATCTAGTTACTACCACCTGCTACTGCAAAGTAAGGCTTTGAGTAAACCTATCAATCTCTCCATTAAAAGTTTCCCTTACCAAAAGGAAAAAAAATGAAGTAATTTTCTTTTGCTCCAAGCAGAAAGTATATTGATGGCATCTCTCCATAAAGTGCTATTTGTTCTTTTCTTTTCCTCTCAATTTGGAACCAATTGAAAATAGACCCTGATGTCAGGAATATAAATATTAGCACTGCTACTAATATAGTTAGGTTCGAAAATATGCACCTTGGCTCCCTGGCCACATAGAATCCCCTATATTCCCTCTGAGTTGAAATAACTCAGCCCAAATGGCAGGTTTCTCCTGTGTGTGGGCAAAGTCTGCCCCATAAAGTTCATACAAGTTGAGGAGAGGACACTTGTTGGAAACCTCAGTACGAGGAAGAGAAGAAATAAAGGCTGCATTATGATATTTCCCTTAATTGCAGCCAGTAGATGAAGACGGCTGGTATTTTTGATTGCCCTCATCATACAACTGCTGTTCATCCCTTGGAAGCAGAGGGAAAAGCCTATCTGACCTTCCTAATCCTTGCCACAGGGTTGATGTTTCTGTTGTGTTGGCTCTTAGAACGTGTGGAGGGATGAAAATGGTTACCCTCCCGTAAGTCTGGTCTGACAGTCTAAGCGGACCAAACACCGCAGAGGTCCCTATAAGGCAATTGAAAAGTGGGAATAAATTGTATCATCTTTGTGGACAGTGAGAATGCACTGTATATTGTGATGTGCACATTTGAGTTACCCTACAAAGCAATTTTCTGTGTGGCTATTTAGACTTTTGTTCTGGGTTTTATATTAGTATTAGGAATATCAACTGAAACCTGTACTGGCTTAATTGGCTGACACTTTGGGTCAGCATTTCTTTCCCTATCCTTTCCTACCATGGCAGCAAAACTTCTGTTCTCCAGAACTGCAATAGCACATTTCCAAGGCGGGAGGGGTGTTATCAGCTGTAATGGAGCCTTATAGATGGATGTAGTGAATCTTGACAGGAAGTACAGGTGGATGGGTGCCCTTGGCCTGTGCTTGACAGCCAGGGGATTCTGTGAGGCCTGAAAGTCAGTTAGAAACACACAGGTTCCGACTGACTTAATATCTAATGGCTCTGAGATTTTTTACACTAAACTGTTTTTAAGCTTAGTGTAAAGAACTTAGTGTTAAGCTGAAAGAACTAAAAAAATAAAAGGGTCTATGAATGGGATTTGGGAGGTTTCATGAATCTCCTCAAACATGCTGTCAATAGTGTGTTCATGAGTGTAACTAGGGTAAAAGTAGTCCATATCTCTCCCTAGATTTTCCAAGAGAAACTCTATTTAAAAATTAGGTTAGAAATCACTGCTGTAGAGCCTTAAGTTGTTTATCAATTCTTCCACCTAAGGATGAAGAAAAGTTATTGGGTAAGGAGCCTCCAGTATATTCTCGGACAGTTGTAGTGGACCAAGAGTCTTACATGTAGGGTAAAAGTATAACTTAGCATCTATAGTGGGAAACTTTTCTTCATGAAAGAGGGCCTACTAGATGAGACACTATGCCAGGTGTAATTGGGAGGGCTGGTCAGTGCATTCACTGGGGCCTCAGAACCAACTCATTCAGAGTCCTCCCTGCACATTCCACACAGAAAGCAGGGACTTTATCTGAATGTTTTGGAAGCTCTCTTGAATGATAATTCAGAGGCTATGTAGAATAATGGGATGGACTAATGGCTATTCACAGTCTGGCAGGACTGATTTATAGTAAAAGACTTAATTTTTAACTTCTCAACTTCTTTACTAACTACTTTATGCTATATCAAAAAGCACAGCAGTCGAACAAATATGCCTTCCCATTGTAATGTACTGTTCCCTTTTGCTCACCAAATAGCGACAACATGAATTGTATTAGTTTTCTGTGCTGCATAACAAATGATCACAAACTAAGTAGCTTAAAACGACATACTTGTATTGCCTCACCAGTGCCGGGGGCAGCAATCCAAGCACAGGTTAGTTAACCCTGCTTAACATCTCACATAGCTGCAACCTGGATGGGCTACACTGTGCTCTTTTTGAAACTTGGGGTTCTCTTCCAAGTTCATAGTTGTTGGCTGAATTCAGTGCCAGTAGGATGGAGGCCTCTATCTTCTCGCTGGGCATCAGCCAAGGACTAAATTCAACACCTAGAGGCTGCTCTCAGATCCTTGCCTGCGGCGATCTCTGCAGCAGTTCACCACCTGGTTGTCTGCTTCTACAGGGCCAGCAGGTGAGCGTCTCTCTGGCTTCAAATCTCTCCCTTCAGGAAAGGCCTAGACTCTTTTTCAAAGCACCTCATTTTACCTAACTGGAAGTCAACTTATTAGGGGTCAAATTAGGCACTTCTGCAAAATCCCTTTACATTCGCCATATGACATGACTTAGTTACAGGAATGCATGTCATATTCACCAAGGGGATTGTATATTACAGAGGTGTTTAACAGGAAGTGGTAATCTTGGGTTCCGCCTTTGGATTCTGGCTCCCGCAGTCTCTAAGATGCCTTGTGTGGCTAGCAGGATGTTGGGCTACTGTGATGCAGTCTTTGGTGCTTCTCAAAAGAACCAGGCTTAATAACGGCTTAAACCCAGTTTCAGAGGGAAGTTAAGTGCACTTTTCTTTTTCCACATAAGTTATACTAAGGACATAATTTTTGACTTCTCAAAAGTTCGTTGTTTTTGCTAATTCTAAAGTCACTGTCTAGTCCTTCATCTTTATATTTCCACCTATTTATAATAATAATAGCACTAGGTCTAGTACGTTATTGTTTAGAAAGTGCTTCAGAAGTCAGCAAGCTGGAGCACAATGTGTTTAAGTAGTCGTTAAAGTGATGTTTTAGAATGCTTTAATAACATGAAAAGATTTTAAAATATGTTTTCAGGTAAAAAAGCAGGTTGAAAAATTATGTGTACTGTAACTGCATGTTTATTAGCATTTCAGGGAGGGAGGTAGAAAAAAGACAAAGTAAAGAATGAAGACAGGAAGACAGAAAGCAAGGAACGAGGAAAGGTATTAATAGCAGTTGATTTCTTGGTTTAATTTTGCCTGCCTTTATTTAAAATTGTTTTTTAAAGTAAAAATTACTTGAGTAATAACTATACATAATTGTTAACTAAAGGATAATGAAAGCCTGTTCCTGGAGAGTAAGAGAGAAAAAGGAACATTTACAAAAATTTAATATAACTATTTTGGCTCCCTGATCTCTGTATAATATTGCAAATAATGGCTTATAGGTTTTTTTTTTTAGTTTTGGGAAGGTATATTAAAACATATTATGATTTTTTGTTGCTAATCAAAGAACTGCAATGAAATCAACAAAATGAGATGCAGAGAAGACAGGTAACGTGGCTCACTCGGGGGGGGGGAATAATTAAATGCACGAATACAGAACACGGAAATGCTGGACTGGGAAATACCTGGTGGTGCTAACAGGGGGTAATGAATCGGCTGTGAGTCAATAATGCAACAATACAGAGTATTATAAAAAGATAAAGTAAGTGCTGCGGGGAACTGGGTAGCATTAATAGAATATTGTGCATAAAATGAACTGGAGCTTTAAAAAAAAGCAACCAAGCCCTGGCTGGTGTAGCTCAGTGAATTGAGCATGGGCCTGCAAACCAAAGGATTGTGGTTCAATCCCCAGTCAGGGCACATGCCTGGGTTGCAGGTCAGTTCCCAGCATGACATGCACGAGAGGCGACCATACATTGATATTTCTCTCTTTCTCTCCTTCCCTTCCCCTCTAAAGATAAATAAAATCTTAAAAAAAGAAGCAACCAATAAAAATATATTTTAAGAAATGCCAAGGAAAAAGAATCGAATAATTATGGCTTAATAACATGTTAATGTATCTGGACCAAAACATATTAGCATAAAAAATTAGAAAGATACATTCTAGAATAATTAAAATATTTAAAAATAAGAAATCCTTTCATCTTTAAATCCATAAGATGTTGAAACTGCTCATAGTCTAATGTTACAAACTGTTGTCTCATTAAAAGTAGGTATATTTCCATTTTGAGTATCTATATTATGTTAAATGGAGGCATAAACATATTATATAAAGTCTGAAAATGGCTCATCCTAAGTTAACTTTGGATCAAAAGCATTTAAAGTATTGAAAGTATACCATATAATTGTGTAGTTTAAATTTACAACTTTATGAGAATCTATATTTAGTCTTTAAAATACAAGTTCTAATTTCAGACCAAATAGATCTAAGTGGAAGATTTTATAAATTCCCCTTAAGAGAATATGTGCCAAAAAAAAGAACCACAAAAGACAGTTGAACAATACTGGTTAAAAATGTGCATGTCCATTTAGACGCAGACTTTTTTAATAAATAGAGATAATATATTTTCTCTTCTTTATGATTTTCTTAACATTTTCTTTTCTCTAGTTCAGTTTATTATAAGAATGCTGTATATAGTATATATAATATATAAAATACGTTAATGACTGTTTATGTTAGTATTTCTGGTCAACAGTAGGCTATCAGTAAAGTTTTGGTAGGAATGAAAAGTTATACATGGATATTCAATGGTTGGGGGGTGGTAGGTATTGTAACCCCCCACCCACATTGTTCACTGATGACTGTGTTTAGGAATAATATATAAGTAGGTGATTCAAACTGCATTATATGTATAAAAATTACAAATATGTATACAAATGATGTTTAATAATTACAAAAGATGGCTAGCAACTGCTAATGTAGGCTCTTACAGATTATTTTCACAAGTCATATTATGATGGTACATTACACTTCTGAGTGCTTTTGCAAATCAAATCCTCCACTTTGCTCTAGTAGATCTATTCAACGTCTTCACTTTCTAAGCAACAATGAAACAGCAACATTTTAGAGAGTCCAGTCACTTTTCACAAGAATACACTCTGCATATCTTTGCTAGAACAAGGGTTTGGTTCCTAAATTATTATGAGAACTGAACCAAGCACAGAATTTGGAGTTGGAAGATATGGTCCTAGCAACACCCACTGGCTCTGTGATCCAGAGCATGTCACTACTTCTCCAAGTCACAGTTCACAAGGCTGTTGAGGATAAAGCACATTTGATATGTAAATTGTCGTGAGCCCTATAAAAGGTAAATATTTTTGCTGCTACTCCTGCATAAATTGCTCAAAAATTTATGGCACCTTCCTTTTTGTTTTCTTTACTTTTTAAATTACCAAATAAGCCATGTCCAACAATCTGCCTTCTATGTATCTTGTGTGGTACAATATGACCTCTTATATATTCTTGTATGATATCCAAGCCTTTCAGCCTAACTTTCAAGTCAAATCAACATATATATTTGAATCATTACTGTGTGCGACCAGGATGTGGTCCATGGAGAGAAGTTAAAATGTGGTTCCTTTCCTTGAGGAGAAGCTCATGCTAGAGTTGTTGAGACAATACACAAATCAATGCTATTAGAGTTTCGCCAAAAGTTAAATAACAGTTAAAGATTTAAAGAACAACTTAAATTGTAACTATAGTCCCAGTGTCTTTCCTGCTCAACAAGATCACCTATTTCTCATTACTTCCTGTCTTACATTGACCCTCAATTTTGAGAAAGTTAATCTGCTCACCTTTCCCCTAGACTGTTTGCACGTATTTGTCTCTGTACCTTGAATAATATATTCACCCCTTTTATCAACTTTGTGACCTATAAAGGTTTCTTATTCCACAGCCCAGCTCACAATCAGCTGAAATATCACCCACATGTGTACGGTGTTTTTGTTTTGTTTTGTTTTGTTTTTGTGTGTGCCTTTGTTGTAAAATATTTGTTTTTCCTAGCCGGGTTACAAGGTCTCTGACAACATAGTATCTGGTGCATAATAAATATTTAATAAATTCTGACTAAATGAATAAATCAATATATTAGTTAATTGGTTGATCTTACACCATAACTAAACATTTTTATTAACAGTCTTACAATTATAGTGGAAGAGGGACTGAACACTTATTAGGGACTTCTTATGCTTCTAATATTTATGTAGTATTCTTTCGATGTTAGACAAAAATTCTTTTGACTGAAATGTGTTTTACTAGGTTCTTCTAGGTCACTTAAAATACTTTGAATATTATAAATTTGATACATTGTCATTATATATAGTTGGAAAATAAAACAAATAAGTAAAAATAAAAATCACCTCTAATTCTACCAAAAAATCTAACAATATTAGACTTATATTGTACATCTGATTTTATGTCTTTTTTGCTTACTATTTTATCATGATTATTTTCCCATGCTATTTGTTATTTTTAATTTCTACAGATTTCCTTAGTGTATGGGCTAGAATTCATTCTCTTGCTAAAGCTTCAGTGCAATTTTCACTTCTCTCCCACTTTTCACCCTATAACTGGCTATTGCAGTAACAGTATTGTGCAAAAATGTTTCTATTTCTGTTAGATTCTAATAGCTATTACTGAATAAGAAATTAATGTTAAAAAATCTTCTAATGGAAACGGACAAACTGCCTTCCAGCACAGTTTAAAGCCCTCCCAACAGAACCCTAAAAATGCCTGTTTCACTCAATGCTTATGTGGACCATACTTTCACAAACACATCTAGTGAGAGTGGGGAAATGTCCCTTTAGAAAACAAGAAAGCTCGCATTCCCTCTCAAAGCTTGAGAATCTTTACCGCATCTGTCAACATTTTTAGGTTCTTCTTCTAATTATGTCATTTGCTTCTTTGTGTAGATTTTCTATGCAGTTCACGCCTTTCAAGCACGAAGTAACCATGAACTCAGCCTTCAGGAATACCAAAGAGTCCATATACTCAGATTCTGTGACCTAAGTGGCAATAAAGAATGGTGGTTAGCTGAAGCTCAAGGGCAAAAAGGATATGTGCCAGCTAATTACCTTGGGAAAATGACTTATGCTTAAGGAAATAAGCCTTTTGACCCATTTTCAGTGACCTAGTCAGTGTTGACTGACTACCTCATAAGACTGACATTACAATGTTGGCCTAGAAGTCAAGAAACCTCCGAACTACATGAACTGGTACTGCGTCAGGTTCTAAAGAAGGCTGTGCTTCCTACCAAGATTATTCAAAATGTATTATGAATATATGTTGAAGGAAACACTAAACAAACTGAGACAGCCCAGGCTCCAACTATGAACTGCTTAAAAGTGGGAATATTTTGAAAGAGTGTGTTCTTCACCATCATGAAAAGTTGGCCTTAAAGACAAGGTGTTTTCAATGTATTGTTTTTTATTTTTCTGTATTATGCATTTTGCCTAAAAAATGTTTTGTTTTTTATGTCTCTCTGTTGCACAGGCATGCATGTGTACACATATCACCATTTTCATTACATGGTTTACACACATTTATGTGTACTATATGGTATAGATTATCTACCATATATGCATGAACCAGGGAGTATACTAAATACACACAACAATAGGAATCGATAATTAATAGCCAACTAGAAGTCTGATGTCAAGCCTCTCTTTCTGTATGTTTTGAATGAAACAAAACTGAATAACAAAATAATGAAAACAAGTTAACATTTACCAAATGCATATCAAATGACAGACATTGTTTGATGTGCTTTATATGTGGTAACGGATTGGATACAACATCATGAGGAAACCGTGGCCCTAAGAGGCGAAGTTAGCCCAAGTCACACTTTCAGTAAGTGGCAGGGCTGGGCTTCAAACTCAGGTCTGATCCTGGGGTCCACACTCCTACACACTGCATGGTGCTCACCCACTAGGAGTGTACACATTTGCTATCCCAGAGCACTCAGTGAGGCAAATAGTGGGCAGTGATGAGGCCCATTCCTCTCTCAGGTCCATATTTAAGTACTGAGAAGTTTTTTTGCAATCAAGGGCTATAAAAACTTCCATGATACTGGCCCAGAGGAAATGAAATATCTGGGTTTATTTATTTTATTGTTTTGCTTAAACATTTTTGAAAGTGTACTTGTTTAAAACTATCCTACATGATTGCTAATGATATTTTAATGAGAAAATATTTTTGGATCACTCTGTTATTTGGATAATAAATGGGGAATGTGTGTTCCATGCTCTGGGCCAAGCTGCAAATATTTTTAGTTGACAATTTGTACTTTGACAAGGCAGGCACTGAGGTGACCATTTGCTAGAACACAATGTCCTGGAACACAGAACTTTAATTTGGGAATTGCTCAGAACTGTCCCTTAAAGTTTCAGGCATATTTTGTTGAGATATTTTATTGAACTAAAGATGCTTCTACCAAGTGGAAAAATAACGTTAAATTAAATTTGACTTAGTCGTTTTCTTTTAGAACCAAAATAAGGCAGACTTTCATTGTCCATATAAACTGTGCTAATATGACATCAAATTTGAAGATTCAAATTAAAATTACTTAAAAGATTTTATTTGTATAATATGTGCTGTTGCATATATTCCTAAGGATGACAAATAACAAAATGAAGAGTTATGCTTTTCAGAGGGTTGCTGACTGTAACATACATGTGTGACATATGTCACCACAGATATTCATAAGACACTTATGTGACAGAAAACATTCTATTTTATGACAGAGTAGTCCCCTGTTATCCACCGGGGACATGTTATAAGACACCAGTGGATGCCTGAAACTTCAGATAGTGTCCAAAGCCTATACATACCATGGTTTCTCCTATATAGACAAGTACATACCTATAATAAAGTTTAATTTATAAATTAGACACAATAAGAGATTAACAACAGTAACTAATAATAAACTAGAACAATTATAACAATATACTGTAATAAGTTATGTGAATGTGGTCTCTCTTTCAAAATATCTTGTTGCAGTACACTTACTCTTCTTGTGATGACGTAAGATTGTACAATGTCTATAAGGGATGTCCAACCTGCGGCCCGCAGGCCTCACATGGCTCAGGATGGCTATGAAGTGGCCCAACACAGAATCCTAAATTTACTTAAAACATTATGAGGTTTTTTTGTGATTATGTGTCACAGTGTATTTAATTTGTGGCCCAAGACAACTCTTCTTCTTCCAGTGTGGCCCAGAGGTGCCAAAAGGTTGGACATCCCTGGTACATGGTGAGATCCAGTGAGGTGAATGACATCATAGGCAGTGTGATACAGCCTTAGGCTACTACAAGCACTGGGATGCTTCAACAGTCCAACTGATGACCTCGAAGTCTGCTGAGTAACTGGAAGTTAGAGTATAGAGTGCAAATATGCCCGACAAAGGGATGATTCGAGTTCCAGGCTGAACAGAGCTGGATGATGTGAGGTTTCACCACATTACTCAAAATGGACCATGATTTAAAACTGTGAATTCTTCCTTTCTGGAGTTTTCCATTTAATATTTTTGGATCGAGCTTGATGGGGGGGCAAGTGAAACTGTGGATAAGAGGGGGTACCATATTGTTCCTAAAATTCTTAATCTCAATATGGTTTTATAATGTTCCACTGGTAAGTCATTTTTGCATAAAATATTTTTTTTTTGTTTTGAGTTGGGTACCAAAAATAGACTCTCTTTCTCTTTTTCTGTATACAGAAACATTTGTACCCAACAATAAAATATAAGTTAATCCAGTTTTCCTAGGGTAAAGCATAAAGGAAATCCAAACTTGTTACTTGTGGGAACAGTGAATGTGCCCAACAACCAAGATGGTGGGGAAATGTTACACACACACACACACACACACACACGGTGTGGCAAAAGTAGGTTTACAGTTGTGAGTACCGGAAACAGTTTATTCTTATATTATTCATTGTGGTATTATTTTCCCTATGAACAACTGTAAATCTACTTTTGTCACACCTTGTAAATGTAATTTAAATTGTGATTGTGTCCTTAACATTTCCCACAAAATGGGAAAATTATACTAGTAGAATAGAACATATTGGCTTTTCTGGCTGAAGTATTGACTAAATGTATATGAAAAGTTGGTCTCCTTGTGTGGCCCTAGGATCGATGCTTCCTGTCTGACGTATAAAGAAACCACATCATTAAGCTCATGGCTGCAGTCAGCTGCTGAGCAAGAGTTGTAAGAAGCCACCCATTTGCAGTCCCCCACTCCTATGCTGAATGTATATTACTGTAAAAGTACATCGTTGCTATTTTAAACATACAACCTACATTTCATGTTGCATTTAGGCTTTACTTATTATTTTTTACATTATACAGTACCCTCATTATTTTAATATGTTGTTTAAAATCAAGTAATTGTAATTTTGAGGCCAGGCATCATTTGGTTTGGCCCAAGGGAAATTAAATCCCAAGACAGTTAAGGTGTATGTAAGTTTTCAAAAAGTTTTAAAAAATAAAACTGTCACTGACATATGCTAATATAATTATTTTCTACATTTTTAAAATTAAATGTTATTGTACAGTAATCTATGAAATAGTTTTTTTTACCAAGAACAAAATGAATTTTATAGTTATTTTTCTTTGTAAAACAAGTACATACACACACATGCATACACATATATTATTTAAAACTTATTTTTAAATCGGTGATCTAAGTTAATGATATACATAATTTAGAAATTATTTTAAAAACACAGTAATGCAAAATTACCATGGGTGCTTAAGTCTTGGAAAGAACTTGCAAAGCCACTATTTGAACACTTCTTATATTTCAGAAAAATAATCTTGTTTTACTATTCATTAGTATAAAACAGTTCTGTGAAGGTTGACTTCTCCAGAAGAGAGATGTATAATGCATATCGTTAATCATATGAATGCAGCAATGCAGAAAGTAAGTACTGGTACAGCCCACATTTTTGTCTTAAAAAAGTATGAACATTTAGAAGTGCTATTAAGTGCCTGTCAGTATCTGTGATGAATAGTTCCAATGATTTACAAAAATTAGTTTTCAGTATTGAAACATGGAATTAAAAACATTTCACATTCCCTAAGCTTCCTTTGGTCTATTGCAAAAGCCTTTTAAATTTATGTGTGTAAAGAGAGGAAATCTTTATATTCTAAAATGGCAAAAAACTCGCCCCACTTTGTTTGAATCCTGTTTGTTGGAACTATGGCTTAAGGGTACCCAGTGCACGGAATACAACTAGACCTCACAAATTCAAGCTAAATTGGATATACATGTTTACATTATAGTTAAATTTCATCCACTGGAAGGATATTAGATTTTATACTTTGTAGGGATATCTTACTATTTGTGGAATGCTAGTATTTTTGAGGTTTATTTTTTTAAATCTCCCTCCTGATACATACTATATAATATATAAAAACTTAGTCATTAAATTTTCTGTGATCTACAAAATTATTCCAATATAACTTATCTTCACTCCAAGTTACTAGAATTCAAGCTGAGTCTCTGAGGCCAGTTATAGCTTTCACGATATTACACTCTACATAGAGGCAAGATTCGCTTTAGATTTTCAGGAAAACGAGTCACACTTTAGCATGTGGTACTACCATATAGAGTTGTTCTTGTTTTAAAAAAAATCTAGAGGTTGTATTCTTAATAAATTAACTTATCTTACTTAAAAATCATTATGGTATGTTAATGTTTATGGTTTTCTCTACTTATATTTTTTATAATTATTGGATTAATAAAAATTTCTGTAAAATGATGTATGTCCTATATCCCGTGGTCAAACAATTTATAATATCAGTTACTAGTAGATAGTACTATCATATCTTCGTTGAGTCAGAATCACCTAACCTTTGAATATCAGTGTCTTCCATTTTATCTCATTAATCATCTATGTTCCACAGAAAAGAAAACCAAGGATCACTCAGCTCCTACGTGGAGACACAGGAATTCAAAACCAGGTCTCCTGACTTCAGGCCAACATTCTTTCAATGTTTTCCTTTGTTCCTCTTTGCTTTAAAGTCACTAAAATTTGATTAAATAATCTGGCAGTAAGCATAATATGCAAAAGAGAAAAGTGATATGGAACAGATTTCTACTAGAAAATGGGATTTAAACTTACAATCCTAAAAGCTTCCTTTTTGGCTTAACTAATTATGTCTATTCATTCACTGAGCCAATACACATTCATTGAGAGCTGCAGTGGGAATACCACGGTGGGCAAGATGAGCATGGTCCCTGCCCTCATACATCTTACGCCCTAGTGGGAAACACAAAGTATACATAACCAGATAAATATGATTGATGTAAAGCTGGCCATTTCACCACATGCTCAGATAGAAAGCCTTTTTAGCTCACCTAGTGACAGAGGAAAACCAAGGTCTAACAGCTATTTGAAGACCATTAAACTCTAACAGCAGATATACATTTGTAAAAATACCAATCTGAACTTTACATTATTAGATGTATGAATACTTATACATATGTACAAATTCTAAATATAAATATCTGTACTCCAAAAGAGCAGTACACAATAAAAGGGAAGACTTCCTGAACAAGTCTCATAGTCTTCTCTCTCTGAAACAACTGCAGAAATTAAAATAATTGCTTCTCACATCTATCCAGCACACACGGGATAACATCTTCCATTTCAAGTGCCTGTGTGCAGATTGTGTGCATTACTGCTTTAAGGTTTCATGGGGACTGAAGCTACATTTGCTGACCTGAGCTGGTGTTGGGTCATTTTGTCCAGTTCAGTACAAACTGCCCCTGAACTGTAAACAAATAATTATATAAAATCTTTTGACCCTAAAGGAAATTTTAGACTGATGCCAAACTGATGTTTAATCAACAGCAATCTGTCAAAACAAAAACATCTGAAGGCAGATTTTCAACATGTAAATAGATATCTACTGCACTTTGTAAGTACCTCAGAATCAGTACCTTGATTTCTGATTTACCATGAATAGTCTAGTCCCATAATTTCACAGGTAGGTTTAAAGTAATCTCTCCTTATAAAAAAGCCAAGCTTAATTTTAGACAACTTTACCTTCACCTACATCACTTATCAGTATATTTTAGAATAACAATATCATTAAAATGTAGGGAACCGGGGAAAGGATTTTAGAGGCTGCAGAGTGAAGGGTTAGTGGCACACACACGAAGAGGGAGGTCTTACCTTTAGCGACAGCGTGGATGGGCCTGGTGTTATTATGGGAAGTGAACTAAGCCAGTGGGAGAAAGACATACAAATACAGAAAGAGACATAGTTACGTAGAACAGACTGATGGATGTCAGAGGAGAGGGTGCTTGGGAGACTGGCTGAAAGACGGTAAAGTAATTAAGCAAAAAAAAACCCCTATCTATCACATAGACACAGACAACAGTGTGGTGACAACCAGATGGAAAGGTAGGTGGGAGAAAGTGGGGGGGGCAAAGGTGGGGGAAATGGGACCAAGACTTTACTGGGGTGACGGACCATAATGCAGTGTGCAGATGATGTTGTGTGCTTAAAACC